AAAAAAAAAAAAAAAAAAAAAAAAAAAAAAACACCGGTGTGACAGAAATTGTAGTCCGCTAGGAACCGCAGTCTATTCCCCATTACTCTGTACAGGTGACATTCGTCCCATTTACTAACCGCAATACTACGACTTACCGTAACCCGTACTAATTATATGAAAGCCCTGACTTCCATTGCTAGGACTACCATTCCTGAAACACCGGTTTCACTATTGATGAATTAAGTACCCTATACACAAACATGAAAAGGCTGCTAAGATAATAAAAAATAATACGAAAGTGGCATGATTGTAACCTTCAGAAAATCAGAGAGGCACTGGCCACCTTATTAAGTACCACCAACGAAGTTTTGTAAAATAAGCAAAATCTATCTTTCCAAGTTTAACTTCTTCAATATACTCTATCTTATATACGTAAAAATGCATTAAGTAAATATGGGATGAGATTTCTGAAAGAAAAAATTGTCTAGTTCATATTTCTAACATTTGAGAATTAGAATGAGTCATGTTTAACAGCAACAAATCAGTTGGGTATGGCATCCACTTAATTATATAAAGAAACATATTTCTATGAAAATAAATACAAATAAATAAGTAAATAAATAAATAAATAAATAAATACATAAATAAATAAATAAAAGAAACAGAAAATACAATTTTGATAAATTAAATCTTCTTAGAAACCACTATTTAAGCAGGCATTTCACAACAATGGGTGTTATAATTAAATTCTGTATACATGAAAACAAAACTTAGAAAGTAATGTAAACTGAGAATAAATATTTGAGGGAAGATACATTAAAAAACATTAGCAAGGCTAGTATATAAAGCATCAGCTATTTGGAGTGATCTGAACATTAAAAAAAATGAGTATATTTGACATGAAACCATAAATTCAGAATAAAAAGAAGAGCAATGAACACCTATAACAGTTTCCTTAGTAAAGAAAGTTAGTTTATATTATGGCAGCAGACAAAATAAAAAAGCAGAAAAACAGGAAGAACTGTGCAAATGTGTTCTCCTTTCAAAAAAGAAAAAATTTACAAGTACAATATGTGTTAGTAAAGAAAATTTTGAGATTCCAGAAGATTCAAACAAAGTTTCCATTCACAAACATAAAAGAAAATTATCACATGAATGAAGGAAATAATTTCTTTCCAACAAAATGCTGCTACAAGATGAATTGTCAGATGTATATTAATGACTTGGAATATAAAAAGAGAATAAAACACCAAACCTTCTTCCTTTTACTAAAAAGGGAGAATAAAGAGTTAGATACACCAGTTTTTGATAAACTATAAGTCAACAGGTGGAAGGATGTGTCAATGAGAGTGAATGAACACTGCACCTTACAAGGTCAAATGTCCATGTTATTGTATAGAATTATATGACTATATATATATAACACTTATTGTGATTTTCACTCTTAGATATTCTTCATGTCATGCTCCAAGTTATTGACTCCCCCTTTCATACATAGCAATACTTCCTAATCAGTAAGAATACAGAAGTAATATTTCTTCAATAAACAGCTAATATTAAAAAAGCTCTAGACAGACATACTAAGAATTTCCATATAAGCTGTTCATTGAAGAAAAATCAGTACTTTAGGCTTATAACCTCACACAGCTGACGAAATTCTCCCACTAATCAGTGAGGTTTCCTGATGAATCTCAGGATGAGATATGCAGTCAGCCTCACTATAATGGTTGCCACAGCGATGACCAGGACATAGAGCCACAGAGGCCATGTGATACCCATCTGCTCCAGAACTGCCTCTGACTTAAAGTACAGCGTGCCATTCAAGTTCAGGCCAAGGTTATTGTCATGGAGACAGTCTGCGTACGCTGTGGTGTGGTTGCCCAAACAGCTGTGAAAATATGACAAATATTTGTATATTTATTGAAATTGGAGACGTTGGGAAAATTGAACATTTTGTTTGTACTCTACATAAAACATCAAGGTTATCAATTGGCAAATAGGATATTTGGTGTAGAAAAGGAAACTTTTATATATAATAGCAGTTGGCTGTGAAAATGGTAAAAACTTGAGTCTGATGTTGAATGGAGACAGGAAAATCTCTCTCAGACTAGCTGACTCTTATCTATAAGTTATCTGACTAAGCCAATCACTCGATCCACAGGCAGCAAGGATATTTTTCAAGTGCCACTTAAACCACAGACATGATTTTGGGTTGTAAAAGAAAAGAAGGAAGAAATGTTTCAGTTTTCACATGAATGGGGGTTGCTGAAGTTGAAAACCTGCCAGTAAAACAACTGAATTTTTTACTTAAATCAGAAATAAAAATCAAAAATTGTAAATCAATACTAAAACTGACAATGCAAGTGAACATAATCATTATGTCCAAGTTACCAGTAGAAGGCTAAGCTTAATCAGAAAACCTGCACAAAAGGGATGAACCAAGAAGGATGGGCCTATCTTCAATATAAACAGGGCTTACCTGAAGGGCTCTGCTCCTGTAAACTCCAGTATTATCCCAGTATGATAGCAGTAGTTGATAAAAGAAAGGTGGTCCTATCTTCAATATAAACAGGGCTTACCTGAAGGGCTCTGCTCCTGTAAACTCTAGTATTATCCCAGTATAATAGCAGTAGTTGATAAAAGAAAGGTGGTCCCATCTTCAATATAAACAGGACTTACCTGAAGGGCTCTGCTCCTGTGAACTCCAGTATTATCCCAGTGTGATAGCAGTAGTTGATAAAAGAAAGGTGGTCCTATCTTCAATATAAACAGGACTTACCTGAAGGGCTCTGCTCCTGTGAACTCCAGTATTACCCCAGTGTGATAGCAGTAGTTGATAAAGGACAGGTACTTGATCCAATCCAGCCAGAAAGGAATGTTTCGTGTGTAATATCCTCCTGCAATCAAACAAGTTTTTTTTTGAAAAATTTAACAAATAAATAATAAGGTAGTTATTCTTAAATTTGCTCTCCTCTTTTATCTCACTCTTATATTTTAGCCGAGTTAATCAAAAATATTTTCATAATCATTGCCAAAAAAGATACTTCATGTATCTGAAAAACAAGCAGCTCTTAGCAGCTCTGTAACAGTAGTCTTACTCTTATTACCTTCGCCAAGGAGGTTATGTTTTCACCCCCATTTGTTTGCTTGTCTATCATCAACATAACTCAAAAAGTTATGGACCGATTTGAATGAAATTCTCAGAAACTGTTAGAAGTGGGTCAAGGAACAGATGATTAGTTTTTGGTGTTGATCTGGATCATTAATCAATCAATATTCAATAATAATAATAAATTGCTGCCTTGGCCGAAGTCTGCGCTCTCGGAGTGCTTTTCTAGTGCTGTATGCTTCATTGATCACCAACATTTGACAAGTTCACTCACCAGCTAACATACTACTCAACATAAATATGGCCGCTGTTGAGATTGATAGCTTCAAATCCAAAACTGTCATTCCTATCACAAAACCAATACCCTAGAAAAATATGACAAAAATAAATAAAATAAAATAAATAAATCGATTAACAAACAGAATTGCAAAACTCAAGCTCAGTGTAAAGTGATGTATATCTAAATCTACATTTGGGATTGATGTAAATATGTTATTCAGTGTAACTGTTTACAATAAAATAAAAAAAAACGCAACTCAACCTTGGGGCTTGGAATTTGTAAATAAATGAGTCATAACACATCACACTAATAGTCTGGATATATCTGTATTTTTTTCTGTGTGTGTGTGTGTGTGTGAGAGAAATGGGTCATATTGCTACTAGTTCAAAGGTATGATATAGCTGGTTAAACCCTTCTATTGTACAATTCAACCAATATGAGTTGCAATAAATATTTTTATTCTTATTATTAAATCAAATATAGTCCATCACAAGTCCACAGTAGGAACTTAACATGACAACCAAATTATCTAACTGAGCAAACTGAAACATGAGAGTGGGGAATACCTTTTGCGTTATACATGATTGGCCTTATTTTTCAAGTGTACGTGCTGGGGGAAATAAGATCGTGCCGAGTGGAAAATTTTCCGGAAAAAAAAAATCGTGCCAGCGCTATTATTCAGCACTTCAGAGTAAACATTCAAGTCCATATGGGCAAGCACGCACGCATGCACACACACGCACGCATGCACACACACACACTAAATCAAACAACATTACCTGAGTTAATATTGAAGTCAACATAATAGTGGCCCACATCCCAAAGAATCCCACCACTCCATTGAGGCCTGCCATCCAGAACACTAAGATTGTAAACCCAGTGGGGAGAACCAGGATTAGAGGTAACTCACTGGTCATTTTGGCACAGTAGTAAGCAGAGAGACGGTACGCACCTGATGACCTCTCCTTGTTGATCACTACCCGCTCCTCTGGGACTGAATAATAAGTGATGTTATTTTAGACATTACTGTAGGCTGGGGAAGGGGGTGGCAGTGTTTGTGGGGTTAAAATACACCCTTTTGGTCAGGAAGCTTTGAATCAAGATTTTATCGGATTCTATCCTTTTTTTTTCAAATGGGAGGATTCTATAAATCCTGTTGACATTAAGTCAGGATCATTGAAAGTTAACTTCATAAAAAGAATTATACTCACACGATGTAATGGCATCAAACATTGGTACGAAAGACCAGTACACATATGTAAAAAATATCTGAAAGAAAAGAACTCATTGAATGTGTTATAATCAAAATTGTGTTATTTACATTTAATGACATAAAAAAGTTTTTTAATACTTGTCAGAAAAAAAACTCTCTCTTTTCTCTCTCTCTCTCTTGTTGTCTCTCCTTCTCGATCGCTCTCTATCTCTCTTGTTCTCTCTTTCGTCTCTCTGTCGTCTCTCTCTCTCTCTCTCCAGTCCCATCCCTGCCCTCCCTTTCTCTCTTTCTTACCACTCCTAGTCTGTCTGACACAGTGTCTTCTGTCCTTGGCAACTGAAACCATAGCAACCCAACAACAGATGCAATAATAACGCTCTGCACCAAATTTATCTTTGACCAAATCCTAGCTTTTGATTGGGTAAAATTCCTTCTGGTGAGAACCTGATACTGGGTCCACCATGACGTTGGCCATCTTTGGTCCTTTTGTTTGTTATACTTGACTGCCATCTCATCTGGGATTAGTATGGAGATTTCCGAATCTGCTTAAATCAAATCAAAAATTTACTTATAATTCTTCTATCAATGATAATATAAATATATCAATCGTGTTTTCCTTATCATGTTTTCCTAATATTTTTTTCTGATGAATGCATCATCTTTAAAAATGATGAGTTGTTAATGAAATTTCCATTAAAAACAATATGTAAAATATTAAAACAATTTCACCATTGAATTTCATTATCTTCATTCTTATCTCAAGTCAAAGAAAAACTTTATCATAAAATAATCAAAGAATTATTTTTTTCAATAGTTCAAAAACAAAATTCAGAATTATTCTGACCACCTAATTGAAATACTTAACCAATGACAATTAATTTTAAACTACAATAAACATGCAAACAAAACTTGTCAAACCATTTCTTATGATCTGGCTGTCATGTCTTATGTTATTTCCCAGCTTCATTTCAACCAAATCGCCGTTGGTAGCCGGTCGGCCATTTTGTTCCACTTTTTCCTCGGCTGTCTTGGTAAAGCTATCTGCCGCTGGGGTGCTGGTCAGAGCCAGTTTGTGGTCCAGTTTTTTCAGTTCCTTTGGCCACTGGTCTGTCTGTCTGTGAAAATAGATAAGATGAAAATAAAGGTGAACGAGAAGCCCTCTTTCCTGAGCGCCGATAGAGCATAAATTTCCAGTAACGCATATAAACCAATTCTACTAGTTTCTGACGACTCAAATCAATTTGACATATTCCAAGAGATAAACCCAATTAATTACTCAATCTGCCAAAGATGAGCTTTAAAATGTACCTTCTTCAAAATTTTGTTTGTAAATTTGACCTACTAGTACTTATCTGTCCCGTTTATATACAGCAGAAAGCAAGCAGAAAAATACATCAAATATCATTTTTATGGGTTACATGAAACAATTGCTTTTGGTATTTATCCAAGTTCTACTATTTAAAACTATATGGTGGCATTTGGTTGGCATTCAAGGCAAAAGACTGATTTCAAATGCACCTTTAAGGGCCTGATGTGTAAACAGTGTAATATGTTCTTTACCTGTCATTTATGATTTTACAAGAAGTCTGAATGCAAAGAATTACCTGCGGGCATCAGCATTCTCAATGATAAGATTTTGGATCTCTTCACTCTCTTTTACCTTCTCCACTGGAGGAGAAAAAACAGTGTTACACCAGACAAAACTGATAACGATGGCTAACAAGTTTAACTAAGACTTTTCTCGACTATTTCATGTGATATTCAAAGAGCAAAGTATATCTGGTAGCAGTTGTAAAATCTATATTACGGGATAATTTCCCAGGGGCTAATTGTAAATATCTCTCACTAACCATATCAGTGTCCATATCAATGGTGCCTGTTAACGTGTGTGTGTGTGTTTGTGTGTGTGTGTTTGTGTGTGTGAGAGAGAGAGAGAGAGAGAGAGAGAGAGAGAGAGAGAGAGAGAGAGAGAGAGAGAGAGAGAGAGAGAGAGAGAGAGAGAGAGAGAGAATACCTACACATAAAATCAGCAGGGTTGTAGTGAGGAGTACAGGGAAGGCCTATACTGTCAAAAAAGTCCACTACCTTGTGGGCGTCTCCAAAGTAAGCTACCTAAATGTAGAAATAAACAGTGAATCAATACATAGAGCTTGTTTAAGCAAAATGTTTTTTTTTTTTCAGTAATATTTGAAGTTGTTTTCAAATAACATATTTTGTCCATATGTGGGTGAGAGGCAGGAAGGGAACACCAATCTAACAGTTCTCACAGTACAATTACGAGACTAACTAGCAGTATTCTGCAAAAATGGAATACTGGACTTGCGAAGAGGCGTGTGTGCAATGTTGGGGGGGGGGGGCACATGTACTCACATGTCCTTCACATAGCAACAATAACCTGTCAAACATGTGAAATATTTGACTGGAAGGTTGGTGGATGGTGGTCACCACAGTCTTGTTATGGCTCTCTGTGTATTCCTTCATTGAGGTCATCAGACTGTAGGCAGTACTAGAGTCCAGGCCAGATGTAGGCTCCTGAACAGTACATTAGTACATGTTATATACTTAAAGAGTATGTGCTATACTTGTAGTAGATTTTTTACTAAACTTACTTGTAGTAGATAATTGTATTAATGGAGTACATATGCTATTCATGGAGTAAAATATACTACACTTGCAGTACATAAACTATACTTGCATGAACATTAAAAGAAATTTAAAGAAATCAAAAATATGTCTGGTCATGATCAATATCTGTCCATTTTTACAATATGCCTTAGAACTTTTTTGGGACAATGATATCAGTTTTTTTCTTTTTTTTTTTTAAACATTTTTTCACTGTGACAGTTTCAATTCTACTTTCCTTTTATTTTGTTAGATACATTTGACAGGAACAATCTAAAGTAAATGAATAACTAGAGCTGACAGCCAAAAATAATCCACAAGATAAAGAGGAACTTTTTTTTCTAACTCACATCTAGTAACATGATAGTGGGGTTGGTCAAAAGTTCGCAGGCGATGTTGGCTCTCTTCTTTTCCCCTCCTGAGAGTCCCCGCTGCCAAACATTACCTATTACTGGAGGATGGAAAGCAACAGGTGTCAGTTATCACAACCCCCAAAATATTTAATTGATTAGATAGATGAAAATTTTACTTGAATTTTTTAATCAGAATATTACTTTGTTTAAAATTAATTCATTATTTCATCCATTAAATCTTACACATAAAAATATTCATTTTGATCAAAATATATTCTGAAGCACCAAAAAAAGGAGTTAATTCTCTACCATTAATTATAAATTTTCATTTTCAAAATTTGGCAAATGAGAAAAACATTTACTGTTAGCCTTTAAATAAACATTGCCACATTTAGATTAATTAACCAAGTGGTTAATTTCTTAGTGATATTTTTGATTATAATTAATCAAAATGAATTAATCAATTTCTTTTTCTCTTTATTTTAATTCTGGTTAAATATTTATTTAAACTCACATGTGTTAAGGCATTTTCTCATGTCTAAAGACTCCACAATCTCGTCTACTCTGGCCATCTTGTCCTTGTGTGGCATGCTATCAGGGAGCCGCAGGAGAGCAGTGTACTGAAATATAGAAGATTTATTTTACAGCTGCTCTTACTTTAAGGAACTCTCCAATCCTCTGAAGAAAAGTTTATAAGAAGTGTAGCTAGTGTCGCTATTATCTTATCAGTCTTGTCAGGTAGCCATGATACTTTGCAATGTCAGAGTATATTATATATGTGTTTACTGGAACTCATTCACTTTTAAAACTCTTAAATCTAGGATATAAAGCAATGTAACAATGTGTAAAGCTGCACCAGTAAATAGCACAGGAATCATTTTAAAAGCAGTTAAGGAGAGAAGAAGGTTCTACACCTCTCACATACCACAAGTGTTTCCTTCAGTGTTAAATTAGCAAAGAATATATCAGACTGTAGAACATAGCAGATCTTCCTCCTCATACGCTTATCAACTGGCTGTCCATTGAGAAGAACGTCCCCAGTCTCTCTGGCTAGGCGACCAGCAATGGTCGAAAGAAGAGTAGTCTTTCCTGAGCCTTTGTTAAAAAAACATAATAATAATTTAGCATAGTTTGATATCAGACAGTCACAGAGCTGCTAAAAACAAGAAATATATACTGCAAATGGCAAAATGGTATCGCATCAGCTACAATTAAATAATAAATAAATCCTAATTTATAATGTTTTCTAAGTAGATCGCTCCAACTCCGCGGGTACTCTCGCTGAATGCAATCAGATTAAGATACCTCCTCTTGGTATTGAATTAAATACAAAAAACTGGTATACAAGTACTGTACATTTGAAATCCAAAGAGCAACCTAAAGTTCTTCACATTCAAGCAGGCAAAAAAGCCAATAATTAAAATGTATAAAGACTTCATTAAAAAATAGCCTACCACTGGGCCCCATAACTGCCAACATTTCTCCTGGCTTGGCAATGCCAGCCACATTGTGGAGAATCTTTTTTTTGTTAATGGACAAGTTAACATTGTGAAAGATGAGCTCCATTCCGCGGCTTGGCTTGAACACCGGCGGTGGAGGGACTGCTCTGAAATGATGAAAACATGAATGAATGAATGTACTCAGAACAGATGATCTGTGGACTAAATGATCCACCACACTAAATATAGCTGACTCCATTTAAAAACGATGCCACTGATTTCCTGATGGTCTCTCTGCTGCCACATGCGCCATCGCTACAGGACCCTAGCAATTAAACCTCGGAGATGAGATTAAATTCGTTTAATGGCACCATTCATGAAAAAAAGAATTAAAGAGGTTCAGGCAACATTACAATTCAGACACTGATAATTTCACCATAGTTTGACATAATTTGATTAAAAATTGAATGTTTCTAAAATATCATTTGACCATGGAATAACCACCATGACAGAATGGATGAATGAACAGACAGACAGTCAGACAGATAAGTATATGTTTCCATGACAACACAGCTGAAAAATAATCTAATCAACTTGGTTAAATTGTTATGAGTTAATTATAAGCATTTTTCTTGACCTTCTCACATTTAGTGGTATACTTTTAAAGCAAGCATGGATGCCTTATGACACACTTTAACTAGTTTCTTATTTGACTAAAATTAAGTCAACATGCAAAGGGATAAACCAAATTAATCTTTTGTTCAGCCAAAAAAAAAAAAAAAAAAAAGCTTTTAAACTGCATCTTCTCAAACTCCTGGTTGTAAATTGATCTATCTAATTATATGAGTCCTCTCCAGTTGGTAAAAGTCCACCAAACTGACATTATAGTAATGTATAAGGCATGACTGCTGCATCCGCAATTAGACCAAGGCACAGAAAGCAAGAAGAAAATATCCACTTAGGGGGGACTATGAAATGGCACCCTTTGGTAGTTTTTAAAGTTCTGCTATTAATGAAACTGTTATTATATTGGTGACATTTGGTGGGATTGCGTGAGAAAAATTTGACATCAAATACATCATCAAGTACTATTATAATAATAATCATAGCCTCTCATTGTGAAATTTCCCCATCTCACAAAACCTGACGTAATCTGCTTTGACATAACTTTTAAAAATCAGGAACTTCTCAGACCCTCTTTCCAGATGTTTTTCAAAGACACAACTCACCTGAAACTATCTAGGTACAACTTCTTTGTGATCAGATTACACCTTTGTCACACTACTGTAGTCACATTGACTTTTCTCTTTTCTTTTTTCAGCATACATATGAATGCAACATTCCTTTATTCTTTCCTATTTTAATTCCTATATTCTATTGCACCACAACACTGCAATAATTTATCAACACCCCCGCCTACACAAAAATCCCTTCTGCATGTTTCCTAAGTGAGGGCATTATAGGCATTACCATGATAACCCTGATGTTTCTTTGAAAAGGTCATTATGGGATAAGCACAGTTTCTTTTGTGATGAATTAATTGATCCCTTTTTATTACATTTTGTTATGCTCTCAGCTAGTACTCTCTGGTATATGTTGTGGTGAGGTGGCCTTATCAAGAAAGAGCTATCAGGTTGGCTATTTACTACATGTAAAGTACTGAGGGAAAACAAGATGTATACTGACCATTTGCACTGATTTCTTTCTTTTTCATACATAAAGATACATGTCATGATTTTCATTACAAGTATAATGGTCTAATCCATTTAACTCCTAAAATCTCATTTTGACTTTGGTTTGCAAAAAAAAAAGTTATTTTAATAGAATGTGGCACTGCATGATTTAATATTAATGAATATCATTCCACAGAGAGACCTTGGGGCATTTGTCACATCCAGGGGGTTTCTATTACACACTAGTTGGACTAGTCCTAATAAAACCTGTAATTACCCTATGGAGAAAAGAGGGGTATTCTTTTTCATAAGCCTCTTGTAGCAATCAAGACCAGGTTAACTGGCTGTATCAAACACCTGGGCTCTATACAGGTGACTCTTCAGCAATAGCCAGGTTACCTAGCTGTCAATCTCTGGAATCTGAGGCAAAGAGACTATTAATTCCCGGGTTAAATTTTCGGCCAAAATTTGAAGAAGGTGCAGCTGACAACTCTTTTATGGCTGATCCAGTGTTGAATCCAGTTTACACCTTGGCATGTTGCTTCATTTGAATCATGTAAGAAATTAGTAGAAGTGGTTTATTTGTGTTACTGGGAACCCACTCTCTACTGACACTCGATTCAAAGGTACTGGTACATGTACCTTCATAACAAAAACATGCTCAAAATGTGCTGCCCAAATTCAGAAAGTCTAGCAATTAAATAAACTTAAAATTATTCTTACTGGTATACTTAAAACTACTTGTCAGTATTGGTAACTGCTTCTATATAAAATAACTTGTAATGACTCTTGTATCCCAAATGGAGAAGTTTTTTCTACAGGTATGTGCTTTCTATTTTCAAAAATTTTGCAAATCACATTAGTTCTATTTGTCTATTTGTTATCTATACATCACACATCTTTTAAAACTATTTTCTTCAAATCTTCCCCTGCTAATTATAAGTCCTACTCTCTAACCAGAGGTCAGTTGGTGATGTTGTTATTTTTTTCATTTTTTTCACCCTTTTTCTTTTCTGTGCAAAATTTCTAGCACAACCAATACAGACATTTGCAGAGCATTAGCCAGAGAAATATCAGTGAACATCATGTGCACGTAAAACTCTCTCTGTGGCCCTGTTAAACAATGTGTCTAAATCTTACTTGTTTTCTCCAGGTCCAGTGATTTGGCCATAGCTATGACCAACTAAGTCCACCGTTGACGAGATAGTTGGCAGCTCTGTATTTTTCATACTTTTTGACATCATTTTGCTTCAAAATGTCCAGTGACGCACACGGCTCATATGTGCTGCATCCAATGTCAAGTTACCCCCGCAGAGCTTAGAGACTTGACAATACAGGTATAATACAATAAAATACAGGTAGCAGCCTGGAGGAGTTCACAATGAGCATGTACAATGTTAGATTATGCAACTGTGACTCAAACTAGTAATTGTGCACCTGCTACCATGTTCCACCATAAACTGTTTCTCTTTAGCTACCAGAAACAGCACTTTTTCCACAAAATTCTACGTAAAATCTCAGTAGAAGTGAAAAAAAAAATGTGCAAATCATTCCTTTCTACCTGACAGTATTGTCAGCTTTGACTTCTTCAAACATATCACGATTACCGATCTGCTCTGGTCAATAGATTCTGAAAGTGGGCATTTTATTTGGGGGAGAGGGAGGGGAGGGAGGGGAGGGGGCAGAAATTAATATACTTGAACTTCTTACCTAGATGGCTTACTGTATAATAGGGAAACCCTGTTCCTACTCTGAGTAATTAATTCTAAATAAACTGTAAGTTTCCTTATGTGACCGTGTAATATAATTGGTTGTTCTCTGAATACTTCTACTTTAACTCTTGTGACTAGCTGCTAAGGACGCGCACATCTCTTGACATCTAATCTTATATCACATGTCGACCTTTCACTATATAAAACCTGTGCACCCCAATTTCGAGCACCGAGACGGTGGTAGGGCTGAGACTTGTGGCTTGTGTTGTCTCAGATTACAGACACCTTCTAGTTTATTCTCCGTTTCAGTCTTTTACAACTCCCTCTAGGACACTGGGGGTTTTGTTTTATACTATTTTATTGGTTTGGAAGTCAAAATAAACTTTTAACCAGCCACCCGAGTTGAGTTAATCATTCCTGTTAACACTTACTTGTTGGTTTATCAACTCATTTATCTCTTACTATTTTTTCCTCTATCTTTATTTATCTCATGATATGCTTTTGAATGTATCCCTAAGTTGCAGACCTCCTGTAAACTACATCCCAGTTATTTATACTTCTTCTGGTAAAGGATCTAGCTGACTCCTGTAGGCTGTAGCTTTGTATGACCTTTTTTTACTATTACCGAGCTTGTATATACAATACAATGCAATACAATATACAAGACAATATACAATAGAATACAATACAAAACACAATATACAATACAATACAAATGGATATATAGTTAAAACCCGTATTTATGTTTTGTCCTCAAATAAATAGTAACAAATATAATAATAATAATAACAATAATGATAATAATAATAAATAAATAAATAAATAAATAAATAAATAAATAAATATAAATTACGATAAATAAGTAAAATAAAAAAATAATGAAATACATGTCATACTAATCTAAAAAATTATAAATAAATAAGTAAAATTTAAAAAAAGAATAAAATACCTGTCATCATAATCTAAAAAATTACTTTCTTTTAGAGTAAATAAAATTACGGCCAGTTACTAGAATAAATATGTCAAACTAATCATAAGCAACGTTACTTGAACAAGCAATGTTATATATCTTAAAATACAAAAAGATGAAGTTTCAGAAAAGAGGTTCTAAACCTGACATTGCCAGAACCAATTACATCCCAAACGAATGTCACTCCTCGTCCCTCCCCTTCCCCCCGCCAAAACTAGGATCAAGATTTACCTTACCTATTCAGGTTGCTGTTGACCACTCATGCTTAAAACTTGAAACGTAAACACAACCGCTTACATGTGCGAGGAGACAACACGCTTTTTGCCTCGTGACATATTGAACAACGGGGTTTAATGTGTGTTACATAAATTATAAAAGTTGGTGTGTATAAAAAATTTGGTTTATGAAAATGGAAATACTTTGGAAAATTATTATTTTTCATGTCATGTTTCTCTTTTGAGCAATTTTTGTTGCGGTGTGCTATGCGGTGACCTTGTTTTTGACCGGTGGTTGATTTTCACATTTATCTTCATATTTTAAGTTCATCATTTGAAAATACATTTTTATTAACATACGTTTCCTAAAAGGTCAAAATCGTAAATCCTGAATACAATATTATAGCCCAAAAGAAATAAATCGACAAGAAAGTCTTTAAAGAGATGGAGTTGGGCTCCTCTTGATAACCATTCAGTGCGGGACTGCCGGGGGTATAAAGCTGTCTGCACTTCCTGTTGATTTCATTTCTTCTGTTGACATTGTGAAGTAGAAGCGTCTGCTACAATTTTGTTTTTCTGCACTGCGGCAATGGATCCATCTATATCAACTACGGGTATGTGGTAAATTAAATCAATTCTCTAAAACGTGACGAAAGAGGCGTATTTGTATGTAAAACGTTGAAAGTTAAAAACTTGTAGCCGATTTCTGAGTGACGAACTTACGCAACTTGACTTGCAGCGTTATGTAAACGGCGAGTGACCGCTGTGGCTGCTTTTAGTTAAATGCGGACAGTTCTGGTTTTATCTGGTTTACTGTAATTTGAATGGCGTTTACAATTTTGACACACATAGTGGCAAAATGACCGTATTTTAGTGGGATTTATATAAACACCCTTATCCAATATTTTGATATGTATTGAATGCAAATAATAAACAGCCTCAAGCTTTCTAATTAATTAATCAATTTATTTATTTATTATACACTATAAATTTACTCCATAAAGATCACCTGGATCCAGTTCAATAGAAGGAGTAAATAGGTTTGATGTCTTATTGATTTATAGTGGCGTTGGTGGAGTCTAACAGTAACCCATGTGGTGTTCAACTGGTCAACGTTAATGCTGTCAACAAAAGTTCAGATCCAATGGACATTGTGGAGTTAGCCAAACAAGTACAGAAGGTTGGTTATATTGTAGGGTGTTTAACACATGTATAGAATCCAGGCTTTCTTTAGACAAGTTGATGTAAGCTGAAAATGCTTTCCTCATTTGGATGATATATTGTGAACTATTAAAAAATCAGATATATCCTTGATTTTGTTAAACATTTTGCACTGGCTTAAATTTTTCTTCAGTTTGGTTATAATTAAGGAAAATCAACTTAAATGTATGCACAACTATGATTAATGCTGTCTGGGGTAGCGCTAACACTCGCCAATTTAGCCAAATGCTAAAACTTACTTAAATTGGCTAAAGAAAAAGGGCTTGATTTGACTTGTTTTAGCCAAATTATAACCATTTTGATAACAAATTGACAAAAAGTGGTGATTTGGCTAAGCAACAAAAATTGCTAGCGCTACCCCAGGCAGTATAGACCATCACTTGGAATATAACAAAGTCTTAGGCGGTAGAAGGATTGAGAAAACTTGTGCATGATTTATTGAAATGGAGGAAAAATACAGCATTAGCTAAATGTTGTGTTTGTTTGGTTTGCATTGCACAGGCTGATGAATTCACTAGGGCAAACGCTGGCAGCAAATTAACTGTGATTGCAGAACAGATTCGATTCCTTCAAGAACAAGCCAAAAAGGTAAGTTATCCTATCTCTGTTACTTGCTACAATGATATGGACCTGTATTAGTCACTTTCATTGTACATGAAGGGATGAACTCTGGCTAGCAAGCTTCTCCATAACTATTCTAGTTTTGGGAGTAACTTGACAAAAATTCTCTCCTGTGACTTACTCTTAATTTTACTTGAAGGACTGCCCTCTTAAGTCCAAATAGGCAAATGGCTAAAAATGAAATGATTTTGTAACGCAAAATGGAAGTTATGTGTACATGTTTCATGCTTATCTGTAAACTACAGTAGATTTTTGGTTGTTACCTTAGTGATAAGTGACCTCTTTGAGAAGGAAGGTAAATATGGTCAAACTTTTGGAGGTGATTACATTTCTAAGTTTTATTATAGTAATTACTAATAACTTATGGACTCCCATGGAAAGATTACCAGCTACGTCTGCTTACAAAAGAACAAAGCTAGTTTAAGGCACTATATGCTGTACCATTCACCAGTTGAATATTTTGCTGTATCAGTTCATTTCCACACACTCAGGTATTGATGGAGTCCAAGGTGACTATTAAAGGTGAATCATGGTGACTGTCTTTCATTAGGATTTCTATTAAAGTTGTGCCTAGTTTAAAGCACTATATGCTGTACCATTCACCAGTTGAATATTTTGCTGTATCAGTTCATTTCCACACACTCAGGTATTGATGGAGTCCAAGAGAAATGCTGACCTGCACCATGCAGCATGTAACTTGGTAAAGAAACCTGGTCACATCTATTATTTATATGAGAGGGACTCAGGACAACAGTACTTCTCCATCATTTCTCCACAGGTAAGTCTGGTCACATCTATTATTTATATGAGAGGGACTCAGGACAACAGTACTTCTCCATCATTTCTCCACAGGTAAGTCTGGTCACATCTATTATTTATATGAGAGGGACTCAGGACAACAGTACTTCTCCATCATTTCTCCACAGGTAAGTCTGGTCACATCTATTATTTATATGAGAGGGACTCAGGACAACAGTACTTCTCCATCATTTCTCCACAGGTAAGTCTGGTCACATCTATTATTTATATGAGAGGGACTCAGGACAACAGTACTTCTCCATCATTTCTCCACAGGTAAGTCTGGTCACATCTATTATTTATATGAGAGGGACTCAGGACAACAGTACTTCTCCATCATTTCTCCACAGGTAAGTCTGGTCACATCTATTATTTATATGAGAGGGACTCAGGACAACAGTACTTCTCCATCATTTCTCCACAGGTAAGTCTGGTCACATCTATTATTTATATGAGAGGGACTCAGGACAACAGTACTTCTCCATCATTTCTCCACAGGTAAGTCTGGTCACATCTATTATTTATATGAGAGGGACTCAGGACAACAGTACTTCTCCATCATTTCTCCACAGGTAAGTCTGGTCACATCTATTATTTATATGAGAGGGACTCAGGACAACAGTACTTCTCCATCATTTCTCCACAGGTAAGTCTGGTCACATCTATTATTTATATGAGAGGGACTCAGGACAACAGTACTTCTCCATCATTTCTCCACAGGTAAGTCTGGTCACATCTATTATTTATATGAGAGGGACTCAGGACAACAGTACTTCTCCATCATTTCTCCACAGGTAAGTCTGGTCACATCTATTATTTATATGAGAGGGACTCAGGACAACAGTACTTCTCCATCATTTCTCCACAGGTAAGTCCAGGTGGTATTGTGTAGTGGGGCACACCTAAAGCCATTTTAGAATCATGGTGACTGTCTTTCATTAGGATTTCTATTAAAGTTGTGCCCGATGCTGAAGATAACTTATTTGGCTATAAAAGATATTTTAAATGTCTTGTCCATTTTCCATTGATTGGGTAGCATCTAAAAAGTCATCAGTAAAAGTGAAATCGCCCTCTGCTCATATCTGTGCTAGAAATACATTCAGACAAACACCAAAGTTTTGACAATCACCAAATCCTATACAAACTTGCCTGGTTGGTGCAATTAAGTGTCTATTTTCTCTTCTTTCCTCCAGGAATGGGGCGACTCCTGCCCCCATCATTACCTAGCTGCCTACAGACTGGAACATGATATGTCCTGGACCCCTGTAGAAGACCTGGAGAGGAGATCCAAAGAAATTGCCATGATAGACAAAGTACTGAACTCTCAGCAGGCCATTATGGATGCTGTTTTAACAGAGCCAAGCAGTAGTAAATGACTGTCAGTGGGAAGTGTTTATTACTGATATAATTTTCGTCCTTTTACTGGCCTATTATTGATGGCCTCTTACTGATTTTAGGCCTCTTGCTGAATTTTTATCAGGAAATCCGTTTTTATTAATCAGAATCAGGCAAATGATGGAGAGGATGAAGATTATCTTACAACTGATATTTTTATTGACCATTATTTTTATTTTTATTATTTTATTGACCGTCATTGAGGTCAAGAAGTGAAAAAATCCAGCAAGTGGATTTGCTCATTGGATTATGCATTTATTATACCAGCATCAGTATCTCAGCAAGAAGAGTAAAAATCATTTTTTCCTCATCATCATTGGGGGTGTTTTTTTATACACAACTAGTTTTACTGTTTGGTGGTGGCAGAAGATTAACTGTGTGACTTGCGAATGGAGTTAAAGTGGTAATATAAATGGAATGGATAGCCAGATTAAAATAATAATCAGTAGAGGCATGTAATTATGAAGGGTGTTTAATGATGGGTATTCAGAAATTATGTAAAATTTAGATTTTTACCCTTAAAAAAGATGCTAAACACATTTTAATGTGTTCTGTCTTAACTTTCTTATAAGTTTTGTATAATATTTTTTAATGTGGCTCAGTTTAGTCATTACGACTGTATATGATTATGCTGTTGCACTATAAGAATATTTGGTGAAAACTCAAGTTGCAGATGAATCACTTTTACCAAATAATTAAATGATTGTTAACTTGAACCATCTAACCTCGTCTTGTAAAAATAAAACAGATATGTTACAGTTTAATTTCTCTTTTTCTAAGAAACAGTTATTTAAATTGGTTGAGAGAAAGTAAAGAAATTGACCTTTAAGTTATTTCTAGCTTAACTGAGCCCAAATAACTCCCCAAAGTTAAAGATTGTCTTTATATCAATGAAATAACATTTGACAAATTGACCAAGTAATTGTGTGGAAAAAAAATTACATACTGAAAATTAACATCTCATATGGCTTAGATAATGCTTAAATTATACACAGTTATTTTACAATTAAAGCTTTCTCATTCTGGCAAGATGCTATATCACAAAGTGTTGAAATTAAAATCACAATACTTGAAACCAGACACCATTTGGTGGGTACCAGATAACATTCTTAGTGTTCTTATGCATGGTAGTATATCCCATTGCCACTGTTTAAAATGAGGTAAACAGTTAACATAATCAAATATAAAAAAATCACAGATTAACAGTACCATTACAATCAAATGTATAACAAGCTAACAAGAACATAACCATGCACAACAGATAAGATACAAATGATTAAAGCGCACCTAACATTGTCAAAGAAATATTACGTTAATTTTATCATTAATCTCATTCTACACAGAAACCACTGTTACAGAAATAAATATGGCTAGATAAATGCTGAGTGACAGTTCTGATTAGAATAAGCTTTTAAAAATATTCTCAAAAATTGCATATTTCATTAATGTCTAATTTATAGTAAGAAGAGAAGTAAACATCTTTGTACAAGTTACAACTTCAAAACTACTGTAAACATGCTAAAATAATATTTTTAACCGTGTCTTGAGGTACAACAATAAAAATGTTAATCATTTCTAAAGAGATAAAACATGTCTACCTTCAAGGCATAATATTAAGGCCCTTCCTCAAAATATCTCTATTGCAAGAATGAACAGTCTTTGTGAGCTGGTTAATAATTTATTACTCTTACAGCTTTGCCTAAACAAATCTTACAAAACAGTTGATGCAGGAAAAGACTGATCAAGTGTGATCATTATCTGCTCAGAGCAACCTTTACATCAACAGAAGATGAAAATGTCAACTACATGGACTAACACAGAGAATATATAATCAACCAGTATATGTATGTATACAAACTACTGATAGGTTTGGCAACTGACAGCAGCAGAGAGGTTAGCACTGAGTAAAGGCAGAATGGAAGCCCAGGATATCGGGCCTTGATTAGTAAGACACAGGGCGGGTGTTCAGCTAAATTACACATGGTTATCTAATACAGAACCTAGCCAGAAGACCAAGGAAAAAATCTAGTACAAATGTCCAGCCAATCTTATTCCATGAAGCACATACAGAAAACAGCAGCAACTTAAACAGTAAGTAAGTTCATATAAACCTATATTACTCGAGCCTGTGAAGAAGATATCAGACTCTGGCCAGTCATTGTAAAAAGATTCAAGGAAGCGGCTAGTGATGAAGTGCATATACTAGAACAAGGAGCCAAGGAAAGACACTGAAAATGGATGCTTTTAGTCAAAAATCAAGTAATGACAACACAAGACCTGCACAGGGGATCACAGAGGGTAAAAGAAGGGTACTAGTACATCAACAAGCACCAGCCAGTACATGTACAAAGAGACTGATTATTAAGCTACAACTGGAGACAGGTGGAGTCAAGAGCTCAGGACAAGGACATATGGAGGGATCTTGTAGATGGTTTATACCCTACTGGGGGTAATATAGAGTAATAAGCTCAATCTAAATGTTTTATTTATCAAAATATGTCATTTAACTCTTGAAATATTCAATTAAATTTCTATTTATACAAAACTTCAAGTTCAAAATTACTCTTAACATATCTTTGTTTAAAATTTACAAAGATTTTAAACCACTAATATAGAAAATAACTTATTATAACAATAAAGCTTGCAATAAGAATCTATACTGCAACATATTAACAATATTTGTAAAATCTAAAAATTTTAAGACCAACTCCTGATATGAAACACTTTTGCTGCCAAAACTGCACACAGAGATCATTTGTCTTGTCTCTGCCATCACAGCTCCACACCATATATAGTTACCAGATGTGATGGGAAAGTACCTCAATCAAAATGTATTCCTTCCAGGAGTTTGTTCTCAATGTTCCTTTATGTTAAAATTGATCTCAAATTGTCCTGAATAGACACTGCTGCATCTAGTAACTGTTCAAAGGGTTACTGTTTTAAATAAATATTTATAATAAAATAATTGTAATATAATGGACGTATAGTTTTACCCACAGAAATGTAAGTATTGTTTAGTCAATATGATAGTACCTATAATGAAGTGATATCTTTGTCTTGCTCTTTATTTCCATGTTTTTCAGTGTTGAATGTTCACATTATCATAATCTGGTTTGGAATTTCCATTTTCCTCAGCAGAATTAACTGAGCCAGATGGTTTACCTGCTATCACATAATTTTCTCCATCAAAAACAACACTTGGTGCATTATCCATTTCAAGTTTGTCAACTATTACTCCTTCATTGTTTTCTTCTGTCCCAGAAAACCCACCATTATCCTGACCTTCACCCTTCAAGGTCACAGCTACAGCGCTGCCCTCCTTTGAGTTTTTACCCGCAGTGTGCTGCACTTCAACATCTGCAAAGTTAGGGTTATCATGACCTTCACCTGCATCAGAGGTCAAGGTCATGTCTTTCAATTCATTGCACTTAACTCCACTAACGCTCACAGGAGCACCGCTGTCATTTATAGTGGACACAACAACAGGCTTACCATCAATTTCATCCGACACAACATTGACTAAGTCTGTGTCTTTCTCTTCTTGAAGGCGGTTTGCCTTCTTCCTCTTTCTCAACCTTCCACCATACACATCAATTTTATTTGGTCTTGTCCTACCAAAACAATACACAAGCAGACCAAATGTAATAAACATTGATAAGCTCGGTACAAAAGCGATTGCCTTAATACCCAGGTGATAACCATAGTATCGAGAATTCATGAACGAGTCACCGGCGAGGTACGTCTGATTGGTGGACAGGTCAGTGTTGTTAGACCTCCATTCATAGGTCAGTTGAGTGGCGTTAAAATTGGCCAGCTGATCAAGGTTGCGGACGGTGTAAACATGACCAGAGGGGTCAGTGTACTGACCATAGTCAGCAGGAAGGTAAAATATTTGGTTCTTCCACATGTTCAGATCTAGTAACATGACAATGAAGAGAATACCATAGTTGAACCATTTCCCTGTAAAAGACAACAGCAATAAAAATCACTGCACATGTTCCACTCCTGAGTACTGAGTATGCATAACAGTTTTCAAAATCTCTTGATTGGCAATTCAGTTTTAAACAAATTGGGAACTCCATGGGGACTCTTGCTGAATGCAATCAGATAAACAGATTAACATGCCTCCACTTGCTTCCAACATACTGATATAATCACCAGTTTTACTGTATTCTAATCAACATCAGGATAAGGCATAAGCCTCCACTTGTTTACAACATACTGATATAATCACCAGTTTTACTGTATTCTAATCAACATCAGGATAAGGCATAAGCCTCCACTTGCTTCCAACATACTGATATAATCACCAGTTTTACTGTATTCTAATCAACAGGAGGAGGCTAGTTAATCTGATTGCATTCAGCAAATGTTATTGCAAAGTTAGATCAATATACATAGAACGAGAGTTAAATTACGAAAAAGCTCTTACACGCAGTCATGCTATACAGATTAGGGCATGTAAATGGCCAGTCAGAGGCCTAAAATGCTACACAAGGTGCAACTATTTAAAGCCACATACTAGTATTATACAGCACATAAAACAAACTTTTAATATCCTGTGAACTAATTGCTTCTTCCATATATACTGTACCTGTTATGTGGACAGTCCAACTCTCTTTAAGTTCATTCAGACATTTTGGTATCTCAAACTTGATGTGAGCAGTGTTCAGGCCTGGGAGCTTGATGTCAAAGTTGTTGATAAAGTGGGGAAAATCCCAGTCCTAAATTTAGTTAGTTAAATTGAAATTGGATCTTTGCAAATATTTTTAAATTTATAATTACTGTTTTTATTTATAATGAGTGGAGTTCAGATGTTGATATCTTGTACAATCATCAATAAACAATGACAAATTAAACAAATAAATGGTGTTTAGGACATCAAACAAACAAATGTCTTTGTGAGAGAGAACATACAAGACATATAAATTAAATGTATTTAAATACAGTAATTTATCATTGAGTTTATTTCTGGTTACTGAAAATGGTGAATTTGCAAAAGAAATAGAAATGCTTCTGAGTATTTACCAAAACAAAGAACCAACAGACAAACATAGACTATCACAACTTACCTGCATAACAATCAGCAGGTCCATAACGAGAATAAACGACGCTAAGAACGACCTTGACACCTCATTGGTCGGCAAGAAGTCTCGATTCAAGGTGTCCCAGTTAATCCAATCTGTTGCAATCACCATGACAACAACTATACTCAGAGTGATGACACAAACCCAGAAGAGGATGATTCGATTGATTTTTCTGTTCCACCATCCGCGTACAGGGGTGGCCCAACCAGGGTAGAGCTTTTCTTGGAGCATGATATCTGTTACCTGATATGTACATACCAATTTTTAATTCCAAAGTCAAATAAGTATCTGTATCTCTCTTAACACAAATGTGTCACTCAATAATATGTTATTACTATACAAAATTCATCTTTGCATGTTACAGTTCTGAAGTTGCCTGATCTTTAATTTTATAGAAAATTTATTATAGCTAGACACACAACTGACTGTAAAATCTTTTGTTATAAAATACAAATGATACTCAACTTACAGGTGATTGCTTACTTAAAAATCAAAACAAAACAAGAAATTATAAACAAACAAATATAAAATAAAAGGAATCAGATAAATAAATGAAATCGACTAATATAAATTGAAAAGATAGAAAGCCAGCCCTCCATCTACTGGTGCTACCCACCATCCAAGCAGTGAAGAAGTTATAAGGTTATAAAGAAAGCCACCCCTCCATCTACTGGTGCTACTCACCATCCAAGCAGTGAAGAAGTCTCCACACCACGTCCCACATGCTGCAGCCTTCATAAAGATGGCATTATTTATCCCCATGAGTCCTGAGAGAGCGTAAGACTGTGTGCTGGCGCCACCTATCAGCAGGAACAGGTTGTACACGTACGAGAAGACAAAGGTCCAAAGAATACAACACAGAAACATGATCATCCAGGACCCTTGGTCGTCTGAGAACACTTCAAGTTTCAGAACACGGTCTGGAAAATTACAGATTTAATAATGAATGATAATTAAATATACAATTCTGTACAATATACTAGTACTGCTGGAGAGCTCTTTGTGTTTAGTTTTCTCTTTTAATTTTTCCTTTTCTTTTTTGAGGGTTTGAAAGATAAACATTGCAAATGAAAACAATTCTGTGCTTGATAAAGTAACACAAATTAGAGGGCTCTTTCCTATTCCATTAACAGTGTCTTTTGAATCACCACAGATAAATAATGAACAAAAGACAAAGAAAAATACACCTACATACACTTTCAACTCATATATATATATAAATCAATCATGAAACATAATGAACACAAATTACTTTCAATAGTTCCACATCCAAATAAGAGTAAACATGTTCCGGTATGACACAAGACCTTGAAACAAGTGTTGGTATCTGACTAATTTTTTAATGCAAGCTTAAATTAACTTACACAACTTCATAAAAATTTAACAAGATTTATCTTAATAATAAGTTAAATGAAAAAATTCATGCAAATAAAACTTACTCAACAGCAACTTATGTATAACAAACTTCCCAAAGAAAATGCCAATAGTGATTCCTAACATCCAACAAAAAACCTTGAGGACAGACCATGCATTGTCAGGGTAATAGGAACACACCAATGCAAAGGCATTCCCAATAGCTGGAATTGTGGCCTCCTTGTAACTATGTGCCACAGGATCTTCTGCGTAAATCAGAAAGTTACAAAAAACAACAAAATATGCCACGAAGAGGCGTGCATAGGGGTGCTGAAAGTAGTAGCGGAAGTCTTTTTTCATATAGAGGGAAAATTGGCTGATTGAATCCCCTTGCACAAAACAGCTGTCTATCTTGTCCAGTTCACGATAACCTTCACCTAGACCTTGACCTCTTCCATCTNCAGGAGGAGGCTAGTTAATCTGATTGCATTCAGCAAATGTTATTGCAAAGTTAGATCAATATACATAGAACGAGAGTTAAATTGCGAAAAAGCTCTTACATGCAGTCACGCTATACAGATTAGGACATGTAAATGGCCAGTCACAGGCCTAAAATGCTACACAAGGTGCAACTATTTAAAGCCACATACTAGTATTATACAGCACATAAAACAAACTTTTAATATCCTGTGAACTAATTGCTTCTTCCATATATACAGTACCTGTTATGTGGACAGTCCAACTCTCTTTAAGTTCATTCAGACATTTCGGTATCTCAAACTTGATGTGAGCAGTGTTGAGGCCTGGGAGCTTGATGTCAAAGTTGTTGATAAAGTGGGGAAAATCCCAATCCTAAATTTAGTTAGTAAAATGGAAATTGGATCTTTGCATATATTTTTTAATTTATAATTACTGTTTTTATTTCTAGTGACTTGAGTTCAAGTGTTGATATCTTGTACAATCATCAATATACAATGACAAATTAAACAAATAAATGGTGTTAGGACATCAAACAAACAACAGAGTTTGTGAGAGAGAAAATATAATACATTGGCATTTTATTGTATTAAAATACAGTGATTAATCATTAAGTTTTTTCTTTCTTTTTTAATTTAATAGTATCCGTAAAAAGATCCTTTGAAAGTTTTGAAAAATATATATATATTTTTTGTGGATTATTGAGAATGGTGTATTTGCAAAAAAAAAAAAAAAGTACTTATTATTACCACAACAAAGAACCAACAGACAAACAATCACCATCACAACATACCTGCATAACAATCAGCAGATCCATAACGAGAATAAATGACGCTAAGAACGACCTTGACACCTCATTGGTCGGCAAGAAGTCTCGATTCAGGGTGTCCCAGTTAATCCAATCTGTTGCAATCACCATGACAACAACTATACTCAGAGTGATGACGCAGACCCAGAAGAGGATGATTCGATTGATTTTTCTGTTCCACCATCCGCGTACAGGGGTGGCCCAACCAGGGTAGAGTTTTTCTTGGAGCATAATGTCTGTTACCTGAAGTGTACATACCAATTTTTAATTCAAAAGTCAAATAAGTATCTGTATCTCTCTTAACACAAATGTGTCACTCAATAATGATCTTAAAGTTTATATAGAAATATTATAGCTACACACACAACTGACAGTAAAATCTTTTGTTATAAAATACAAATGTTACTCAACTTACAGGTGACTGCTTACTTAAAAAACAAAACAAGAAATTATAAACAAACAAATATAAAATAAAAGGAATCAGATAAATACCCGGTAAATGAAATCAACTAATATAAATTGAAAAGTTATAAAGAAAGCCACCCCTCCATCTACTGGTGCTACTCACCATCCAAGCAGTGAAGAAGTCTCCACACCACGTCCCACACGCTGCAGCCTTCATAAAGATGGCGTTATTTATCCCCATGAGTCCTGAGAGAGCGTAAGACTGTGTGCTGGTGCCACCTATCAGCAGGAACAGGTTGTACACGTACGAGAAGACAAAGGTCCAAAGAATACAACACAGAAACATGATCATCCAGGACCCTTGGTCGTCTGAGAACATTTCCAGTTTCAGAACACGGTCTGGAAAATTACAGATTTAATAATGAATGATAATTAAATATACAATTTTGTACAATATGCCAGTACTGCTGGAGAGCACTTTGTGTTCAGTTTTCTCTTTTGATTTTTCCTTTTCTTTTTTTAGGGTTTGAAACATTGCAAATGACAATAATTCTGTGCTTTATAAAGTAACACAAATTAGAGGGCTCTTTCCTATTCCATTAACAGTGTCTTTTGAATCACCACAGATAAATAATGAACAAAAGACAAAGAAAAATACACCTACATACACTTTCAACTCATATATAAATCAATCATGAAACATAATGAACACAAATTACTTTCAATAGTTTCACATTCAAATAAGATTAAACATGTTCCAGTATGACACAAGACCTTGAAACAAGTGTTGGTATCTGGCATGACTTGATAATTAGAAATTAACACTAATTTTTTAATGCAAGCTTAAATTAACTTACACAACTTCATAACAATTTAACAAGAATTATCTTAATTATAAGTAAAACGAAAAAATTCATGCAAATAAAACTTACTCAACAGCAACTTATGTATAACAAACTTCCCAAAGAAAATGCCAATAGTGATTCCTAACATCCAACAAAAAACCTTGAGGACAGACCATGCATTGTCAGGGTAATAGGAACACACCAATGCAAAGGCATTCCCAATAGCTGGAATTGTGGCCTCCTTGTAACTATGTGCCACAGGATCTTCTGCGTAAATCAGAAAGTTACAAAAAACAACAAAATATGCCACAAAGAGGCGTGCATAGGGGTGCTGAAAGTAGTAGCGGAAGTCTTTTTTCATATAGAGGGAAAATTGGCTGATTGAATCCCCTTGCACAAAACAGCTGTCTATCTTGTCCAGTTCACGATAACCTTCACCTAGACCTTGACCTCTTCCATCTGCAGTGTCCTTGGTGACCCCATCCACGCCATCACCTGTCACAATAGCAGAAGGTTCTTCTGTCTTTGTGTCCATCTCTCCACTGGCCTTTTTCTTCTTTGGTTTGTTCATGACTGAGTTTTTACTAACAGCTGTGCGATACGAGCCACGCGTTGTTGAATCTTCAAAGCCTATGGCGGAGGATCGCACTGGTGGAGTTATGACATCACTGGAGGAAGAGGAGGCCCGTTTGCCTGGTGTGACTTGCTAAAAATAAAACAATCAATTGATATCAGGAGAGGAGAATTGTGAGAATAAAATTAATATTATGAGAATTTGACAGTTATGAGTACTGACTGATTCACATAATTTCCACCCCCCAACCCCAATCAACAATAAATCTAATGCCCTGAAATCAAAATATCAAATTTTTTCTTCAACCATATCAAGGTCCAGAACTAACTCATGTTCATTACAATTTCTCATGGTTTTCTGGTAAAAAGCTTCAATGCACATGCATCTATGTATTTACTGCAAGAACCACGCCCTTTTCCCAGGACATGAAAGCTTTACATGTACTAGACTAGTATGCTTTCGCAATTTACTAGTACCTTAATTCTTTTCTACAGTATCTAACAAAGAATATTTGCTACTGTAATTATTACCTTCTCACAACTGATCATAGACCTCCAAACTTCTAATTTTTTGGAAACACTGACTTAAACAACCTGGTTTGCTCAAGTCTTCATTGCATGTGATAAGTGTTAATCAACGCAAGGGCAAAGGCAAAGGCCAAAGCAGCGAGACTAACCCACAAAATAAATAAATAAAATACCTTAGTTTCCACTGCCACTTTATCGTTTTGCGGTTCAACTTCATTGGTTTCCATTATTTTGCTGATATACTATGAGTACTCCCACGACGACAATTGCCTTCAATTTGAAAATGGAGCCCCTAATCGGCCAAAATTCAGAGTTAGTCAGGAATGTTTTGCTGTTGCCATTTCCTGATTTGCTCCATGTAAAGCTTATTTGATAAGTATATTTTAGTTTCGTTACAATGATTTTTAGAAGGCACTTTGTGAGGTGAATAAATTTCCTCGAACATAAAATACGTGATAAAAACAAAATAACTGTACAGTAAAAAGCTATTTCAATGTGTGTTGTCCTAATAAAGAAAACACCTAGCTTATACAAAACTTCGAGTAGTAAGTGGTTGAATAAATTTCAGCTCAGCATGTAGGTGCTTCCTTCAACTTCCGGCGTCACGCTCAGGCGTGGAATTCACACAGATGTTGGTTTGGTGAGCTTGATCATGTATAATGTACCTAAGATTATGATTAAAATTAGCTTATATAATTTTAATAAAACCAGTTTCATTCCAAAAACCAATTTAAGAAAATGTATCGACTGCTTTCCTTTCAAACAAGGCATTTATTTTTGGTCCTAAGAAATTTTCCCTTGACAACGGTGTAATTTTAAAATTCTTAGATTATCAAGCTAGCACAAGACATCGTCTGGATTGAATATTTGAACGGTTATCAGATCCACCTTATCTCATTAACGATACAGATCGTTAGAATTTTTGAAAATATTCCAGTTTAATATAGAAATTATTTCTTTTGTGTGAAAAATGTTATTGTCGCTTGGTCTACTGGTACAATGTAGCTCCCCAACTGAGCTTTTTTAAAATATTTATTTTGCATACTTCCGTGAGGGCATTAGCAACTTCAATATTTTTAGAAACATGCGTAACTTTTAGCCACATTAAAAGAGTGAACATCTAAGTATTTGTTATTTTTCATGTTTATAAAGGTTTCTTGGAGTGTGCTTTGCCAGGGATAACAATGTTGAGGAAGAGAACTCTTAAGATTGTGAAAGAACTTGATGCTTTTCCTAAAGTCCCTAAGGACTATGCAGAAACAGGCAGCAGTGGAGGGGGAGGTTAGTTCTATAACTACACAAGTATATCTACTATAGCTTCCAGTGCAAAGATTTATAATTGGCCGGACTCTTTATATAACATGATACATGTAATCATAGATAATACCTTTGTATTGGGAAACATTTGAACATGGTAAACATAACCTGTCATAAGAGTAATAAAAATCTTACAGTATGTTTAGTTTTCCATTTTTCTGTATTTATATGATGCAAATTTCCCAATGTTTCACAGTATATGATCAGATTTTTTACTGAGACAGACAAGACTTTTAATTTTCCTTTGCCATACTAAATGGCGAACAGTACTGTCATTATATATCAGAATCTGTATAGGAAAAAATGTTACAGTAATATAATCCACATATATTATCTGCAGCTGTGTCCATCTTGATCTTCCTGGTGATGGCAGCTCTAGTTGTCTCAGAAATCATGAACTACGTCAGCACAGAGATGCACTTCAATTATGAAGTTGATGCTCAGATAGACAGGTAGGAGGGTGCTACATAACAACTAAACAGTTACTTGAGTGTCTCAAGCAAAATGTAAAGGCTGTCAGTAACTTCTGTAACTTTAGTTGATTCTCAAAAAAAACTTGATTATTACTATAAAGAAGCAACTTCCAGTTTCAGAAACTTTTTAAAGTCTCCTCTTTGAACTGAAGGTTTAAGATAACAGCCAAAGCCTTTTCTTTTGATTTATCTCAGAAGAAGACATCTATGTTGTTTAACTTGTAGAAAATATTGTCATTTATTGTTTAACATCAGTGCCTTAACAGCATATTGTTAACATTTTGTTTTCCAGAAAATTGAAGATCAATGTTGATATCACAGTTGCTATGGCTTGTGATGGTGAGTGTTTATTATAACTATACTGAGATCTATGGGGGGCATTAATGCTGTTAATGACTGGTCATGACTCCTTAATGCCTGGTCTTGGTTGTTAACTTCATTTGACTGCTTGCATTACAATGTATCTTAGTGTCCAGTTTATGGAATGTCACAGTAGTCCATAAAATATGCAGGTATCTGTTTGGGCAAATGTATTGGAAATTAATTCTATTTTGATTTGGCTCAATACTGAAAGAGAAAAGAAAAAAGAATCTCATAAAAACTGTTTGAAAGCTGCTACAGTATTTTTTGTGATCCTCCAAAGCACAATGTGTTTTAAATTATTAGCAAAGTGTCTTTTTCTAAATGGGTCTTTCAAAATTTATATATTTTAGTCTCTTTCCCACATTTTAGCACTGGGGGCAGACATAGTAGAACTGACTGACCAAGGTTCCCACACAGAAGTCGAGGGTCAGTTAGAGCAGGACCCTGTCCACTTTGAGCTCAGTGACAGACAGAGGCAGTACTTTGCCACTATACAACATGTGAACACATATCTGCGCAATCAATACCATGCTATCCAGGCTGTGCTTTGGAAGTCAGGGTATTCAGGCATGGGAGTAGAAATGCCAAGAGGGTATGGTGTAATGTCTCTGAATCAAAATTTACATGAGTTTGATTCCTAACTTACTACATGTAGTACACATGTAAGACAACTGCCTAGAAGCTGCGGCTTACAGACTGTAACAGTAAAATGTCTTCTAAAATAAGGATTGGATTAAAATCATTTATTAAAGATGCAGTTGCTCCATTCATTTCTCTGTCTCATGCACAACAGTATGCTCTTTTCATAGTTGTTATTAACCTTGCATTTCTCTAATCTCCTTTAGTTCTTGCATTTAAGCTGTGAAGTTTTTTCTCAGAGCTACATTGTGTTGCACCATATTTCAGTCCATTAGAAAGTGTTCCAGGAGAAGCAAAGGCTTGCAGACTCCATGGTTCCATATATGTCAACAAAGTCTCAGGGAATTTCCATATAACTGCAGGGAAGTAAGTATACATAGTGGCATTGTCACATCTAACATATTGTTTAATAGGTCTATGAGTAACGAGTGCGATTCTTGGGTGATTTTACTGTATTTATGCTTTTAATATTCAAAGGCTTTCTTTGCTGATTTGGCATAGGAGTGTAGGCATGATCTGTTCAAATGTTTTAATCTTAATCTTTACATGGTGCTATCTGCTAATCAGTGACAAAATAAGTAAATCAGTTAATATACTATGTTCTCAGTTGAGATTTTGCCTCTCCACTTTTGATCTCAGATTTTCCTCAACTTTTTTTTCAGAAGTATTCCTCACCCAAGAGGTCATGTCCACCTCACAGACTCCATATACAGGGAAGGTGAGTAGCAGCTTAGATGTTGTTGTAACCAGAGGCAGAATTAGTAACTGCTGAGTATGAATTTGTTCCTTATTGTACACATTTATCACCTTCAATTCTCTATTGAAGGTTAAGTTAATAAGTGTGTATCTCAACAAGTCCAGTATCATAGCACACACTGTAATGGTCAACATCATGTTATAACTATCCTATATAAAAAATCCTCTGCTGTGAACAGCATTCCCTCGGGTAACAGAACACCTAACACAATTCCAATAATAGAACACCTAACATTTCAAGTAATAGTACACCTATCACAATTTCAAATGTTATTTCATATTCTTCTCTTTGCTTCAGATCACAACTTCTCCCACAGGATAGAGAGGCTGTCTTTTGGTGAAGTTGGTCCAGGAGTTGTCAGCCCACTGGATGGGGATGAAGTTCTGACCACAGAACGTTAGTAGAAATATGAATTGAGACATATCCCGTTTTGCTGATTTTCATATTTCTAATCAATCTCTCCCTTCTGCTTTGCTTGCTTCATGGCCTTGTCTTTTCTACTTGTCTTTTTTGATAAACTTATGAGCATGCTACATGTTTAAGGATTGGTTTTCTGTAAAAGTAATCAATGAAATTATCAATAATTTTCTGCATTTTTCATTTTATGAAAATGATATTTTTATGTTATTCTTACTAATTTTTTAGTATTTCAGCTTAAAGGAATTTTTCTCTTTTTAGATTTGTATCAATTTTTTTTCCAGCTTACAAAATGTTTCAGTATTTCATCCAAATAGTCCCGACAAAGGTGCGAACACTTGCTCACAGCGTAGATACATACCAGTTTTCTGTCACCACACTTGTAAGAATATTTTTTAAATATTAATTTTATTAAAATACAAAGTAAGTATTATAATAAATCAATGGAAAGCAAAAGTGGCTGATGTTTTTTATGTCTTTGTAAGCAAAGATTGAATAAAGTTAACATATTTATTTTTTCATTTAGAATTTAACAACCTTTTAATTATTTTTTGTATGCTAATTATTTTGCTATTTAACTAAAGAATGAGGTTTTAAAGAATATGTGTAGCATGCTAGATGATTTAAGAATCACTTAACTATAACACAATATCAAATAGATTCATGCATTCATATATTAGCTATCAACTGGTAAACAGTGCTAAATATAACCAAGGAGTTACAATCTGTTATAAGTCCTTGATATAACAGAGGTTTTGCTGTTTTCAGAACCGCACCATAGACCACAGTCTACCTGGACATGGAGGCGGAGGAGCTCCTGGGATTTTCTTTAAGTACAAATTCTCTCCTTTAACTGTGATTGGTACCGAGGAGCGTAAATCAGTCTGGAAGTTCACAGTGAGGCTGTGTGGCATTGTGGGAGGAATCTTCAGCACGGCAGGTAGTTTATAATTTCTGATATTTTTCCACATAAACAAAAAACACAGAAGTAAGATTCTAATATGATTGTCTTGCAGCATAAAAGTATATTTATATTGTATGTTTTGGTTAGCAAAGTGATTCTTACCCAAAGGTTGTAACACATTTGGATAAACAGAAAACAGGGAATCAATATCAGAGAATGCACAGAGTTAGCAGCCATATATATGTACTGAAGCATTACAAACACAGTTTTCATTGTCTATAATCCAGCTGTCAATATTTGTTTGCAGGTCTGCTTCAGAGACTTTGTGGCTATGTGACAAATCTCTTGCTTGGCCACTTTTCCAAACAACAACATTCCTCATCCTAGGTTTATACAGGATTATCCTTGCATAATGGGGCATGAAATGTATGCAGATTTAAATTTTAAACGTTCAATCTGGTTCTCTGTACACATGTAGGTTTTGGCTGGCTTGTATATGCCAGTAGATAAAGCCAGCTTTGATCCTTTCCTTCCAGCTGCACCTCAGAATAATCTGCTCCCAGTCAAATAAGGGGATTTTTGATTGTTTTTTGACTTAATCAGTTATTTTTGCACTCACCTTTTATATCATTGTTTTTATTGCATGATCATGTTTGATCACTAAAAGATAATCAGTTTTTATTGTCATTGATTAACAATTAGATGGATTTTAGGTTCTTTTTTTCAACAATTATGTAGCAAAAATATATAGCAATACCTTTTAAGCAGGATGATATAGTATTAATTGTGATCATTCCAAGTTTTTAAGTCTATGTTTTAGACAATTTGTTAGGGTGTTTTTCATATTGAAATGTGATCATTTTTGTTTTGTTTTATTTTATACTTGTTGCAACCTTAATAGCATAAATTTTGAAAAATGATTTTGCTTTCACCACAGAAGAGCAGTTACACTTTATTTATGATTATGTAATAAATTTGACAGTGAACAAAAAAATTTTGTAATTCATCTATTTATTAATATAAGAAATTGTTTTCTTTACATTGGCAAGATTCTGGCTCTTAAAGGATCTGTTCACATACCAATCTGGTCCTGGAACAAGGCTGTCTCTGAGAAGAAGGCAAGAATACATATTGTACAGCAAAGAGATTTTTATAAAAATTCACCTTGTCACAAGACACACGTTGGATCAATTTTCGATCCTAAACTGCTCTTGTCTGTACAGATCAGTCAGCAGTTCATAAAGAAAGTAGTTTTTTTCATGTATTCATACTTCACCTAAGTTGATCTTTTGATTTCAGAGTCAAAACATCAAGATGTCTTGGAAAATAACAAAAAAAAAAAAAAAAAAAAAAAAATTAAAAGCAGTTAATTAAAAAGCCATTCAAAAAAGAGCAAAGTGTTGCTTAGGCCAGGAAGACAATAACAATGTGTACAATCAAAACAATACCTTTTTTGGTAAAGAAGAGAGGCTTAATCTAGATAATAAATATATTGTACAGGAAGCTGCAAAACTAAGATATATACAACACCAAAATGGACAGTGGTAAAAATAATGGTAAAGAATTATGACAGAGGAAAATGTTTGGAATGTTTTGGGGCTAGGAGGAATGGGCTAACCACATGATTATGCTAGTGTTCATAATTGATGATGAACTTAGACAATCTAAGCCATATGGCTTTCCTGTCAGACACCTGGCAGTTAATACAATCACAGACATTGAAAAAAAAAAATGAAAAAGCATTACTGTGGGAAATATAAAATGGGAACACAGGTCAGCTCCAGAAATAAGAATTTCAAGATAAGAAGCATAAAATGCAGCTGAGATTGAAGAGCTACACCACTTCATATAAAATAAATATACTCCAAGGATGGCATAATATTAGCTGTCAAGAAGAGGGAGAACTCCTGTGGTCAGTTTATCCTCTCCAGATCTTATATCACCTGGCAAAACATCTGGCAGGCGTTTCGCCAAATCAATTCTACCAATCTCTGCAAAAATGTCTCGTAACTGCTGCATGCACTCGTGACCACTTTTGTCAAACTCTGCCTCATTCCACATACACAACATACGTACAATTTTCACATGTGGGTTATGAGGGTGCTTGGTCTCCATGTGATCCAGTTCAATATCCGTGAAGCCTAATTTACTCCCTAGATGTCGCCAGCTGCTGCCTACACGCTCTGCCAGTTTGTCTAGCCATCGGGCACTCAAGGGACCTACCAGAAAAAATGTTTGTTCCAAAACATTAAAAAATGCTGATTTTGCATTAAGTAACTGTTATCATATTATACACACACACACAATTACTTAGGTACCTTCGATTTTATTTATTTAATTCTTCTCATGAAAATTAACTTCATTTTGATGGGCATTTATTTGTCAAATGATACTACAACCAGCAAAACAAAGTGGAACAAATTGATGATTAAATGTACTGGTAAATGTAATGTCCATGTGCATCCTTCCTCCTATTTATCCTCCAAGACTACACCCACCTATTCTCCCAGCTTTAAGGTACTGCTCCACAATGTGACCCTGTCCATCTTCAATGAGAGCATCACAAAACAGCTGAAATGCCTCTTCTCCCAGAATGCTGAGTTCCTCCAGTAACTGATCTACCTGATTTGTAGATGATCCTTGGTTCTGAAAAGTGAAATATTCAATTAATTTGGAGAGGGATATTGGGGGGGGGGGGGGCTGTTGTGTACAGATGCAGGCTTGTAGCCAGTTTTTTCAAAGGGCTGGTTATTTATTGAAAAGTGGACAATGAAATCTTTGTGAAACTGTATCAAAATTTACCAATTAAAGAAGGGACCTTTTCCAAGCATAAAGGGGTGGCTATGGGGCCTAGTCACAACATTTGTCTGTATATGTGCTAATCACTCTGCCTGTACCTGTTACTGTCAACAATGCCTGTACTATCACCATCTGACACAATTTCAGAAGTCCAGTTTATGGGCCTTATTTAAACCTGATTCCACAGCTTGATTTTAACTTGGATTCAGTGGATGACACACAATTTTTACCTGTATAAATCGTATCATGAAATGATCCAAGACATCTTTGTCTACCAAATATGTGTACAGTCTTCCATTGACATTAATTCTCTGTGTTAGATCTGAGTGGTGCTTTAACAGTCTTGACACATGCTCTGGTTTCATCATTCTGTGTCAAATATAAAAAAATCCATTGTTTCAATACAGAGATTAAATTGTAGTTCTGCACATATTTTATATATTCACACTTTATTATTTACATATTAGTAACGTCAATAGATTCAAAACAGAAATATATAATGGTACTTATATTGTATACGATTGATATGCATGTACCAGTCACATACCCTGTATACTGTATTTTACATTGTATTAACCCATTACAGTGACGTCATATTTGCTCCGTAACACTCGTCNACAGAAATTAAATACTAAATTGTACATGTAGACATGATCATGCGCAGCAGACGATTCCGGTCTCCCTCCAGTATGGCTGCCGTTTGTTTTGATGACGAGGGCTACAATGGGTTAATACAAACACTCCAGTAACATGCATGTACTGAGTACAAGTATTTGTTGTCCCATGAAATTTCATTGATTTTTAGTTTGGAAAAATTAACAGTCTGTGATTACATGCAAAATCACCTGAAACCCATGGGAATTTGTCAATTCTACTTTACGTGTCAAAATCCCGTTCGGTTCCTGCAGGCATAGTTTTTATGTCAATTTATCAACCGTCTGCTTGGTTGAATTTTTTGCTACTTAGTCTAACGCGACATAAGGCACAAATACGTATTACTTACCACTTCCGAAAACAGCGCAGCTTCACCTAAGATACACAAATATATATTGTTGGCGGTTTCAGTGACCGACGAAGGAATTAACTTCGAGTGAGAAATTGTCAGCGCCAGTCAATTTTTGTATCCTAGCAATGACCTTGACCTTCACTTGGATTGAAATGGGGACAATGTTGTCATCGATATGAATTCTGATCTAAGGGTCTATTCCCACAACTTTAGATCGATCTATCACCGCGGGGAGTCTCACTAGATTACTGTCAGATAATCCCCCTTAAGTGTCCGTCCCCGCCTACTAGAAAGCTATAAGGGGTAATTAACTTTCGTGTCCGCCCGGCTGACAGCTATTTAGCGTGAACCCCCAGGGAGTAAGGTCGATCTAAATTTAAAGTAGGTCGATCTGATCTATGGAAATGGGGTGTTACTTGCACTAGACAGCACGGCACGGTTTTTAATTTGCTGGATTTCAGTTCTGCAGTGTTGTTTGATTGAGATGAAAGCGAAAGATGAATTCGTTTGTGCCAAATTTGTAATTTTCTCAAATGTCAATTATTTTTTACAAATAACGTTTAGCGTATTTATGTCTGGACCACTGGGCGCATTGTGATGTAGGCCTTCTATTTCACAAAAATTCGAAATCAATTCAGTCAATCTCAAAGTTTGGTGAAAACGCTGATTGGATGAAAGTCTAGGATACGTCTAATGAGAAAACTGCATTTTGTTGAATTGTTCCTTTCAGCAGCACAATACACGTACCTGTAGGCCTATATCTCCGTAACCTTTGATGGCTCCGGATTTGAACAAACCTCGCTTTGACTCGTTCGCGTTTAGCCTGTACTGGTTAGATCGTTCAATGAGTCATTTGGGGCGGGCTTTAAATGTGAGTGTCTGGCCACCAGGCCTAACGAAAAGCAAGGGTATCCAACTGTGTAGAGGTCTGTTTCAAGTTATCTCTGAAGCTCAGAGTGCGCCCAGAACAGTGACTATATTGAGATATAGGGATATATACATCCTACCTAATATGAATAATGACAAAATAACATGCGTTACGTATGGGCAAATCACTGGTCTACAAACCTGTAGTAATGATACTAACCTGACATTACCAGTTTTTAATAAAATACTAATTTAGAAACATAATACAAATCCAGCTGTTGATCAAGGTATAAACAAAATGGTGCAATAGGCCTACTTTCGTAACCCCTCTGTACATGCATGTAAAATCACATAGAAAATATGCAACACATTATTTTTTTATTATTGGGTCTTAATTTATTGTCTATTCGACAAATGTTTTTGCAATGAAAAACAATCAATTAAAAACAATTAAAACTATCGTTTAACTAGTTAAAAAGGACATATACTGTGGTGGTAATTAATTGTGCGCAGCCTAGGATTTCTACTGGCTTAAAAGTCTCCATCTTCTTCATAGCAGGGGATTATATCCGATATAATTCCCTGTTTATAGATACCTGAGGGATAGAAAAGCATATTAAAAGCAGCTGATCAAAATCAAGACAATGGACATCATCATGGCGGCCAGTTTTGGCCTAACATCAACACCGCTGGAAACCTGACCGGCAGTGATGGCACTGTTTTTGATTGCAACCACTCTGGTAGGGGCCCCACTTCCGTCCTTGTGCAGCATGTGAAACACAAAGGCCGTCGTTCCGGTGTTCGGCAACTTGTCAAGATTGGCTACATTCTCCAGCGCGAGCTTCTTGGCTCCAAGAAAGGCCACGTGCGCTGGAAATGACGTCGTTTGCCCTGCGTCGTAGCTAATGGCATCACTGCCGACTCCGTTGATATTTCGATTGTTAACTAACCATTTCGCTGCATCCGCTGAAAATCCTGGAAAATGAAGAAGGGGCTGTCCTTCATCATTTACCCAATGGGTTCGGTTTGTAGAGCCAAGGTATTTTTCAAAATCATTGACAAATTTTCCCCAGCCCGTGCGAAGAAATACCATGGCGTTGTCAGGTATTCGGCCATTTTCCTTCTCCCAGTCTTCCAAGTCCTGGACGGTAAGGACAGCGTCCGTGTTATTTTCAGCTTTTTTGCTCATGTCCACTCTGACGGCAGGACCGATGAGAATGTGCGGAGGAATATCGTGGACTCGCCACGAACCTTTTATGTAGTGCGCAGGCGCGTCAAGATGTGTACCCACGTGTTCTGGTGAACAGAATCGGTTCATTTCACTCCTAAAAAAATGTATTATTTAAAAATGCATTAAGTTACTGCAAGGCTGGTATTAATTTTGTAAGTGAGGAAATATTTCGTAATAATAGTATTTATTTTTTTTTTTTTTGCAAACGAATCAAATACTTATAGAGTGGAATTCTGAGGAAAAATGAAGAAAGTGGATTGCGTTTAAAAATCTTAAAAGAATTAATCTTAAAAGACCTAAAAGAAGACTTTATACAAATATGCAAGGCAAAACTGTAACTTGACACTGTGTGCAGTTATTATTCCCAACTTACAATTTTCAAAAATTATTATAGTTAACTTTTTAATTAAAACATGTAACAATGGCAATAACTCAACTGTGATTACGCACCATACGGTGTTGTTACCAAGTTTCGCAAACCCCCTCTCAAGGACAATCAACTGGAAAGGATTCCTTCCTGGCCACAGAATCGTTTCATTAGAGAGAGGGTAGGTCAGGTCCATGACGTCATCGGTCCCAGGCTTGAAATGGGCTTTTTTAAATGCAATGAGACGCACGGGGGCGCCACTGCCATCTTTGATGTTGACTGGAAGTGCTGCAACGGAGTCCCCAGTTGTTGATAACTTATCTAGGTTTGCAACACTTTCGAGGATGAAAATGTTCTTTTCGAGGAAAGGAACGTGGGCCATCATAGTTTTACTGGGGCCTACTGAGGGTCCATCGGTGCCTATTCCTGATATTTTTCTGTTTGAGGAAATCCATTTGGCGGCATCCTCGGAAATGGCGGGAAAGCGTACCAAAGGATTTCCATTGGCGTCCAACCAGCTGTCGGTGCCCTCGTAACCATAGTACGCCGTGCGATTATCATGGTGCTTTCCCCAACCGGTGTAGATAAACAGTATAGAGTTGTCAGGAATGGGACCGTTTTCTTTTTCCCACTTTTGAACGTCTTCTATTTTAAGGTTGTATTCATTATTGTTCGCTGCCTCAGAAGAAATATCAATGCGAACTGCAAGCCCGAAAAACCTATGAGGTGGTATGTCATGCACGCGCCACTTGTCCTTGCTGAAGTGCGCAGGCGCATCCATGTGGGTACCTTGATGTTCTTGTGCGCATATATCGTTGGATTCGAGCCTAAAAATATGAAGTTAATGGGGGCCATCAATTTAGATTTTTTATTAGCTTAAAGATAACCATGTTCACGCTACTTGCGTATAAAAAAAGTTTCTCTGAGTGATGTAACTGACGCTCACATTTTGTATCATACTTGCCTCGTTGTTTTTTGTTGTTTCATAATGCATGTTTATTATACATATTACCTTCCAATATGGAAAACAAATTAACGGTAATCGAAAAGTGATACAAAACAGTTCTACAAATATTACTAGAAATGTTTGCATCACTGACGTGACACTGGGAGTATATATAGGCATATATATATATATATATATATATATATATATATATTGAGTGAACCTATAGTACTTTTGCTGGCACTTATTTTTTGTGGTGCACTCACCACTTCGCAGCGTATTTAGCTGGTCCTCTAGAAATCCGAGTGTAGTTAAACCCAGGCAGTCCTGGCCAATACAGTGAGTCCGGGGTCAGGAGGTACGTCATGTCGATGACATCATCAGCCGTGGGGCTCAACTGGGCATACACGTGCATGACGGAGAGCGCCATAACGACTGTCGATTTGGAAACTTCCATGATCTCTGAAATGCATTAAATGAACTGCCTTTGTGTTTATGTAAATAATATTTCATCTAATATGCTTTTACGTTATTAACGGGAATTAGTTTTATTTTATTTTATTTTATTTATTTATTTTTTGCACGTCTTATTCATTAATTTTTTTGTACATTATTATTATTGGTATGTTTTAAATTTTCACAATAACATGATCACACAAAGCCCGTACCAACTGTATAAACCATTATTTTTAGGTACGACAATATAAGCAAAGGGTTTTACATGCTACCCCACAGAAACTGATTTCTGGCTAATTAAGCTTTTATATGATACCCATGAACCTTGGTCACCCAATTCGTACCGATGCACCCACGACCTGACGTACTATCCGGTTCTACTACTTTCCTCTCAAACCACCGATGTAGGCCTATAGCCTATAACCAGCACGTGTTTAGCTATGTTTTGTATCAAGAAATTATCGCTTGATGGCCCCAATATTGGATCCTCTGCAACCTCTGCGGTCGTATTCTCAAAACCTGGTAGTTACGACAGTTTGCAAATATTTAAGAAAATTGTAGCTCTGACTTACGCTGCATTCTCAAACCTCTTTTAAGTCTTGGTAATTATCATTTTTATATAACTTTCCGGAAGTGACGTACGGTCCCTCATCGACATATTCCAGTTCCGTGCTTAGAGTCCATAAAATACTTATCTGGACATGAAAGTCTTATGAAATATATTGAAAATTATTCAAAAAGACACGCACACAGAGTTTTATTCAAGTTTTCCTCGAAAAATCCACTCATAATGAACGTGCTTCCCCCAGCATGCAAGCACAGGAATGGGACGTGGCTCCTCTTGTGGGATTCTCCCAGCTGGGCTTCCCCAGGTCAAAAAATGTTTTTATAAATTTGAAAAAAAATGTTCAACGATATTTCCGCTTGAATGCAGTTTATAATTAACACTCATCAAATTATTCAAATTTGACGTATGTGGACTAAATGGTTTCTTAGCAAAGTTCCAAATTCATGAATACAAATAAGTTAACTCAATTTCTAAAAAAAAAAAACATTCAAATATATGTGAAAATGTTACTTTAATGATAAATATATGTGAAAATATATGTAAAAATGTTACTTTTATAATAAATGTGTGCCTGGAATTAATGACTGTTTATACCCTTTTGCTGTTATCATGTTGCATGTATCTAAATAAAAAAAGGTCAGAAGTTTAACTATGAAATCATTGAAACATGAGTTTTTTGGTGCCAAATAGTTTTCAGTGCATGCTATTGTCATGTTTTTGTTCTAGTGCACTTGTCAGCATTATTCAACACTTAGCACTAGACGACACTTACTAGGCGAAAACAACCAGAAAAAATATCCATAGACAAAATCTCTAGGGGTGTAAACAAGGCAATTTTAATGAGATGACAAATAGATTGCCAACATCACATTGTGCAAACAAACGCAAGAAAAGGTCACCTGACCAATAAGTTTGCCTTTAAAATTAAAAATACTGCAGCGTTCATTGGAACGAAACACAGCGAACAAGGCATTTCAAGGCAGTGGAGTCTCCTTTATTTAGAAGGTATATTTGCATACATTTACTATCGATCATAGCGTGGGATATAATGCCCTGGTTTGGTCAACTGAAAAAAAAAACGCAGGAATTGGTGGTTAGAGACACATAGCTGAAGGTTTTGACAGAATAAAGCTGTTTACAACACCACAACATCGGGTTAAATCAATCAGTCTGAGGTCGTGTTGGAAAGTCTTTCTTTCAAACAAATAAAGAGTCAGGCGTTTGAATATAAATCTTAAATGAATAGAAAGGATTTAATTGAACTATATTAATTTTCACAATAGATGTAACTGCGTGGTCTATTTGTTTAAAAACACTTTACATCAGGATCAGGTATATTTCAATCATTAGATGCACCTAAAGAAAATCAAGAAAAAAGGCATCATCAAAGCAACAAACATGGGCCTTATATCAACACCGCTGGAGACCTGGCCAGCAGTGATGGCGCTGTTTTTAACGGCAACTACTCTGGAAGGCGCTCCACTTCCGTCCTTGTACAGCATATGAAACACAAAGGCCGTCGTTCCGGTGTTCGGCAACTTGTCAAGATTGGCTACATTCTCCAGCGCGAGCTTCTTGGCTCCAAGAAGGGTCACATGAGCAGGAAATGACGTTGTTTGCCCAGCGTCGTAGCTGATGGCATCACTGCCGACGCCGTTAATATTTCTATTCTTAACCAACCATTCTGCTGCCTCTGCTGAAAATCCTGGATAATGAAGAAGGGACTGTCCCGCATCGTTTAACCAATGGGTTTGGTTTGTAGAGCCGAGGTATTTTTCGAAATCGTTGACAAATTTCCCCCAGCCAGTGTGAAGAAACACCATGGCGTTGTCAGGTATTCGGCCATTTTTCTTCTCCCAGTCTTCCAAGTCCTGGACGGTGAGGACAGCGTCCGAGTTATTTTCAGCTTTTTTGCTCATGTCCACTCTGACGGCGGGACCGATGAGAATGTGCGGAGGAATATCGTGGACTCGCCACGAACCTTTAATAAAGTGCGCAGGCGCGTCAAGATGAGTACCCACATGTTCTGGCGAACAGAATCGGTTCATTTCACTCCTAGAAAATTACGTTATTTATCTGATTATTTAAACATGCAAAAAGTTACTGCAAGGCTGTAACGGAATTAATCATTTTTAATGAAGAATGTTTTCGTAATTGTAGAGAAGGGTGCCTATAAGGTTTTTTTTCTTTTTTTTTCGCAAACAATTCAATTTTTATATTGTGGAATTCTGTGGAAAAAATGAAAAACCTGGAATGCGTTTATAACGTCATAAGGAGTAAATCCTCAAAGGATTAAAACGATTTCATGCAAATATGCAAGGCGAAGCTGTTACTCTCCAAAACCATAGCGCTATACCTAGTTATTATTCTTTACTTTAATTTTTCAAAAATTATTATAGTTAACTTATTGATTACAACATGCACCAATGGCAATAACTCAACTGTGATTACGCACCATACGGTGTTGTTACCAAGTTTCGCAAACCCCCTCTCAAGGACAATCAACTGGAAAGGATTCCTTCCTGGCCACAGAATCGTTTCATTAGAGAGAGGGTAGGTCAGGTCCATGACGTCATCGGTCCCAGGCTTGAAATGGGCTTTTTTAAATGCAATGAGACGTACGGGGGCGCCACTGCCATCTTTGATGTTGACTGGCAGTACTGCAACGGAGTCCCCAGTTGTTGATAGCTTATCCAGGTTTGCAACACTTTCGAGAATAAAAATGTTCTTTTCGAGGAAAGGAACGTGGGCCATCATAGTTTTACTGGGGCCTACTGAGGGTCCATCGGTGCCTATTCCTGATATTTTTCTGTTTGAGGAAATCCATTTGGCGGCATCCTCGGAAACGGCGGGAAAGCGTACCAAAGGATTTCCATTGGCGTCCAACCAGCTGTCGGTGCCCTCGTAACCATAGTACGCCGTGCGATTATCATGGTGCTTTCCCCAACCTGTGTAGATTAACAGTATAGAGTTGTCAGGAATCGGACCGTTTTCTTTTTCCCACTTTTCCACGTCCTCTACTTTGAGGTTGTATTCATTATTATGAGCTGCCTGAGAAGAAATATCAATGCGAATTGCAGGCCCGAAAAACCTATGAGGTGGGATGTCATGCACGCGCCACTTGTCCTTGCTGAAGTGCGCAGGCGCGTCCATGTGGGTACCTTGATGTTCTTGTGCGCATATATCGTTGGATTCGAGCCTAAAAATATCAAGTTAATGGGAGGCATTGGATTTTTTATTAGCTTAAAAATAACCATGTTTACGTTCATGCTACTTGCGTATACACCCCCCCCCCTCAAAAAAAAAATATCATAAACATACGTAGGATTAATATAAAAAGACGGATCTTATACCATATGTATCTTCCATCTCATATTAATTTTCTTAACGCTTATAGGGGTGGGGAATTCTTTACAATAATTGGCTTTCGCTGAATAAAACGTTGTCTTCACAACTTTTACCTTATTATACTTTGAGGTAACTTACGTTTTTAGGCAACCGATATAGTCATACCGCCATTTTGCTGTTTTATCCACTTACTTACATTAGCAAATTTAAAAGAGACTCCACCTAAACGCTTACAACTCTTAATCTAGATCTCAGATCTAGATATCTCTAGATTGCTTACATTTGTGTCGTACTCACCACTTAGAACCAAATGTAACCGGTCCTCTTGAAATCCGAGTGTAGTTAAACCCTGTTAGTCCTGGCCAATACAGTGAGTCCGGGGTCAGGATGTACGTCATGTCGATGACATCATTAGCCGTGGGGCTCAACTGGGCATACACGTGCATGATGGAGAGCGCCATTACGACTGCCAATTTGGAAACTTCCATGATCTCTGAAATGTATTAAATGAACTGCCTTTGTGTTTGTGTTAACAATATTTTCATCTAATATGCTTTTCGTTTTTTAACTTACGGATGTTAATGCCTTCATTCGTTTCTTATCCTTTAATTTATTTTTGTTTTTTGTTGTTTTTTTATTTTTGCTATGTTTTCAGTTTTCAAAATTATAAGAATAGACACGTAATAAAACACATTTTTTATTCTTTATTTATCAAAGCAATCCTTAATAAGTATAATTTATATTCATTCATAAATAAATAAGTATAATTTCTATTCATATCTATCAAACCTATCAAGCAGTGAACATTTTCCACCCCGCCCACCATTATTCATAAAATAAGCCCAACACCCCCTACATCACTTTGTCATCCATAAAACCCACATATTGTAAAATAATCTCTCAAAATCTCATTATATCCCTTAAATATGACCAAGTGATTTGGAATTATTCAAAAAATTATTTTTCATCAACATTCTCTTAATTAAATATTTTTCCGGTTCATTTTTACCCGAAATTGCCTCAATTTTAACTTCTTGAGACATTTCACCAACTTAAATGTGTGCTATATTATACAATAAAAATATTTTTTTACTTTACCTGTTAGAACAATCCCTCAGCTTAATAAATGAGCATAATTTGTATTCATATCTTTCCTACTAGATGCTAAGCATTTTTCCTTCATTTAACCTCAGGTGTTCAGTAAATTGGAAACACAGATCAAGTTCCATACATCTGTATTGTTTGCCAGTCTAATTATATTATATTCGATTGTAACAGTACAACCGATCTAAGGTCTTTTAAAAAGTGTGGAAAAAACATACAAAAAATTAATAATAAACCCACACACACACACAAGCTGGACGATTGCTTGATGATGATGATTTCCACTGACCACTTGTACACGGGGTAAGCACAAGGGCTCAGTTAAGGTCTGAGTCATTTCAATAAAAGTGTTTGCACGGGTACGCCGACCTCGTTGATAAGAAGGATATCACCAAATATGAGGCTGATCATGAGTACATAGTTGCGTTCCAGGTCAGCTGCACTATTAATACCAACAAGCCCTATCTTATTCTTAACGGTGAAAGCCAAAGTCTGGTCTAATGTTATATAAAAACGTAAGGAGGTTTTAAACCCCACTTCATTATTGTGTTTTTGACATCTGGAAGTCCACAGCTTTAAGAGGAAAACGTAACAAAACGCCGGGCCGGTTTGTCAAGCAGTATGTAGCTGGAGTCCTTTTTGCAACTTTTTTGCGTCCTTTCGGTTGGATGTTACGTTAGGTTTAACTTCTATCCAGTTCTGAAGGTGAACTTATGGTGAGCGTAAAGTTTAACCTACCTTGTCCATTTTTGTCAAGGGGGCTCTTTAGTATAAAAGGAAACATTCTTACTCTAGCGATTTGCCATAATATTAAATTCGTACCTTTAAAATACACGAATGGAGTCCTACCTTAGTCGAAGTAGGTCAATCAGCAAAGGTATCCCTTGTCTACTGCCTGGTCTGCTGCCACCCTTATCTCTGTTGCGACCGCCGAAAAGGCACGTTTCCATTTAGTTGATGAGCAGTTAGCACCCGTAGAGACAAGTGTTTTTTTAACTTTGCGTTTATTATTTCCAAAGTTGCTTTTTACAACCTCAACATGATTAATTCAGGCAGCCAAGTCACCGATTTGTTGCTTTAAAATGGTTCGATTCTGTTTTATCTGATCGCACCATCTCTAGGGATGTAAACAAGGCTATTTTAATGAGACGACAAATAGGTTCCCAACATTAAATTGTACAAACTAACGCAAGAAATGGTCATTTGACCAACAAGTTTGCCTTTAAATAATGAATATCGTAGCGTTCATTGGAATGAAACACACCGATCAAGGAAATTCAAGGCAGTGGAGTATCTTTTATTTAGAAGGTATATTTGCATACATTAATATCGATCATAGCGTGACATATAATGCCCTGGTTTGGTCACTTGAAAAAAAAAAAACGCAGGAATTGGTGGTAAGAGACACATTGCTTATGGCTTTGACCGGATAAATCTATGTTTATGAAACCACAACATGGGGATAAATTAATCATTCTGAGGTCGTGTTGGAAAGTTTTTATTTCAAACAAATAAAGAGTCAGGCGTTTGAATTTAAATCTTAAATGAATAGAAAGGATCAAACTGAACTATATTAATTTTCACAATAGACGCTACTGCGTAACCTATTCGTTTAAAAGTATTTTACATCAGGATCAGGTATATTTCAAGCATTAGATGCACCTAAAGAAAATCAAGAAAAAAGGCATCATCAAAGCAACAAACATGGGCCTTATATCAACACCGCTGGAAACCTGACCGGCAGTGATAGCGCTGTTTTTGATGGCAACTACTCTGGTAGGGGCCCCACTTCCGTCCTTGTACAGCATGTGAAACACAAAGGCCGTCGTTCCGGTGTTCGGCAACTTGTCAAGATTGGCTACATTCTCCAGTGCGAGCTTCTTGGCTCCAAGAAAGGCCACGTGCGCTGGAAATGACGTCGTTTGCCCTGCGTCATAACTGATGGTGTCACTGCCAATTCCGTTGATATTTCGATTGTTAACCAACCATTTCGCTGCTGCCTCTGAAAATCCTGGGTAGTGAACGAGTGGCTGTCCTTCATCATTTAACCAATTGGTCCGGTTTGTAGAGCCAAGGTATTTTTCGAAATCGGTAAAAAATTTCCCCCAGCCAGTGTGAAGAAACACCATGGCGTTGTCGGGTATTCGGCCATTCTCCTTCTCCCACTCTTCCAAGTCCTGGACGGTGAGGACAGCGTCCGAGTTATTTTCAGCTTTTTTGCTCATGTCTACTCTGACGGCGGGACCGATGAGAGTGTGCGCAGGAATATCATGGGTTCGCCATGAACCTTTTATGAAGTGCGCAGGCGCGTCAAGATGCGTCCCTGCATGCTCTGGTGTACAGAATCTGTTCTGTTCCAACCTATAAAATTGATTTTTTATTTCTGATTCATGATTAAGTGCATGAAGTTACTACAAAACTGGTGTTAATCTTTAACAACTGAGACAATCTTTCTTTAATAAATGATATACAGGTATATCATGGTAAAAATGACAAAACTTCGTAAAGTTAAGCGCTCAGAAGCGTCCAAATGAACACGTGAAAAGATTAAAGTTTTTTAATAGTTATTTTTGCACTTTAACAGTGATTATTTAATTTTCAAAATGAAAATTTTAACAAGTGCATGTACCAATGGCAATATCAATATTAGGACTAGCTACGTACCATACGGTGTTGTTACCAAGATTCACTAACCCCCTGTCAAGAACAAACAACTGGAAAGGATTCCTTCCTGGCCACATAACCGTCTCATTAGACAGAGCGTAGGTCAAGTCTATGACGTCATCGGGTCCGGGCTTGAACTGGGCTTTCTTGAATGCGACGATTCGCACGGGGGCGCCACTGCCGTCTTTGACATTGACTGGAAGTGCTGCGACAGCGTCACCGGTGGTTGCCAGCTTATCTAAGTTTGCGACACTTTCGAGGGAGAAGATGTTCTTTTCAAGGAGAGGAACGTGGGCCATCATAGTTTTACTGGGGCCTACTGAGGGTCCATCGGTGCCTATTCCAGCTATTTTTTTGTTCGAGGAAATCCACTTGGCGGCATCCTCGGAAACAGCGGGAAAGTGAAGGAGAGGATTTCCATTAGCGTCCAACCAGCTGTCGGCGCTTCCGTACCCATAATACGCCGTGCGATTATCATGGTGCTTTCCCCAACCGGTGTAGATAAACAGTATAGAGTTGTCAGGAATGGGGCCGTTTTCTTTTTCCCACTTTTGCACGTCCTCTACTTTCAGGTTGTATTCATTATTCTGGGCTGTCTGAGAAGAAATATCAATGCGAACTGCAGGCCCAAAAAACCTATGAGGTGGGATGTCATGCAAGCGCCATTTGCCTTTGCTGAAATGCGCAGGCGCGTCCATGTGGGTGCCTTGATGTTCTTGTCCGCAAAAGTCATTGTCTTCAAACCTAAAAAAAAAATCAACCGAGTGATAATTTGGAGAAAAGAATTGGCCTAGTTCTATCTTGCTCAGCTTGATGATATAAAATCGTGTCTTGATACACATTTTTAATGAATTATCCCTTATTTACGTATTAACATAGCCAGAGCCATGATTTACCTATTTAAATTGCCAAAGTCAATAAAAGGCTCACATGGAGTATTCATATTATTACATATTGTGAATTACCCACCACCCAGCAGCCATGTTAACCGGTCCCCTTGAAATCCGAGTGTAGTTAAACCCTGTTAGTCCTGGCCAATGCAGTGTTTCTGGGGTCAGGAGGTACGTCATGTCGATAACATCATCAGCCGTGGGGCTCAACTGGGCATACACGTGCATGACGAAGAGCGCCATTACGACCGCCAATTTGGGAACTTTCATGATTTTCTGAAATGTAGAAAATAAAAGTATATTCTTCAGGTTTATATTTTTTCATTTAACATGCTTTCGCTAACTTGACCCATGGAAATAGGTGTTTACTTCTTTTGCTTACTTAAGAGTTTACAAGCCGACAAGATGAGAGCACGCTCCTCAGTAAACAAAAGAAGTCAAAATCTAGTCAACATGAAGCTGCAAACGGCCTGTCACGTATGCAAAGCCCTCTCAAGACTTTTTTTACCATAAACGTAGTGATATATACAGGTATATATGTGTGGGTTGGGCTTATATTGACCACCAGTCATCGTGATAAACACCAGGGTTCACGTAAGACCTCGGTGACAGTGTTTGCATGTCGCAGATTATAAGAAAAATGAAGACAAAACAGAAATTTGTCTTGATCCCATTACCTCGGACAACACATGATGAAACTGATTTTAAAAATTAAACTATTTTGTACTTGCTGGTGACAGGCAAACGGTGGTCTGATGTCATGAAAAAATGAAAAAAAATTAAAACATTTTCCTTATAAGATTTAAAGTCAAACTAAATTATTGTGTGTCTGTTTTAATTTTTCAATCTTCTGCCTTCAGAAAAAAGTCCCACACATCTGTGTATCAGTATCTGTTCATATAGAGGTGAGATGTAAAATATTTGACAGACCTGCAAGGCTAGCCATCGGTCAGGAGGACACCGCTATTTATTAAACGTACAGCATAGTTCTTCAACCTTGGACCGTTTTACCCCCTAAATTTTGATTTATTCTCGGCAGGGACTTCTTTAGAGGTCGATCCTTTTTGTCATCTTTGCCCAATTCCAGAATTCGTAACAGCTATAATTAAGGACCTGTCATAGATAGTGTTACAGAATGGTGTGTCATTTTCGTGTCGGTAACATTAAATATTCAGTACTGGAACACGGATTTACAGATCGCAATTTCATTAACAGATTAGGACAGAATGTGTTTTTGTTAATAAAGGGAAAATAAATACACGCGTGCAGTAGTTTAAGTTTTCAGGGATTTTTTTCTTTTGTTATATAAAGGCAGGCCTAACTCGAATTATTTGCTTTTTAAACTCATGCGCCCCATCCTGTCTTCGCATTCCATATCAATACCCAGCACTAAGTGAGAAAAGATAATGTAGTACTAGGGGTATAGCTTTATCAAAATTTCCAGTTATTCCATAATAGGTGACGTAATATGCGGATGGCAGCTTAGCGAAATGTTGTCTTCCTATCCACGTTTACTTCATGTGTTCATCAAACCGCGCCAATAGAATATATATACTAACTCTACTACAACATAGGGGCGAATCCAGGATTATTTGAAAGGGGGGGGGGGGGGGGTCGGGGGTTTAAAACCGAACCTGACCCCCCTGGCCCCCCTCTAAATCCGCCACTGGTGTCTGATATCCAACCGATAATAACTGTAATAGCAGGTTATCAAAAACTGCGATTGAGTTGAAAGGCGACTTTTTAAAGTTTGAAAATACAATAAAAAGGTTGTACATTTAATATAGACGTTTGCCTTATGATAATGTAGTAGGCCTTTTGCGTCAAGATGACAAGGTGTTGACTTCTTTTGTTTACTGAAAAGCTTGCTGTCTACTGAACAAAAGAATACCGGAGAACAAGCACTTCAGTTAACAAAGAAGTCAACATCTAGTCATCTAGGTTCAAAGGGCCTGTCACATATGCAAAGCCCCCTCAAAACTTTTAACTATAAAAGTAGTGATAAATGGGTCAGGCTTATATTGACCACCAACATCAGGGTACACGCAAGGCCTCGGTGACAGTGTTTTCTTGTCACTATGTAGAAGAAAAATGAAGACAAAACAGAGATTTGTCATGATCCCATTACCTCGGACAGCACATGATGAAACTGTTTTGATAATTTAAACTCTATTTTGTTCTTGATGGTGACAGGCCAACGGTGGTCTGATGTCTAGAAGAAAACATTTTGGCGTTTTTTTTATAAAGTTTAAAGTCAAACTTCATTATTGTGTGTTTGTTTTATTTTTTCAATAGAAGAATCTTCGGTCTTAAGCGAAAAAGAGCTTAAGGGTATTGTTAGCCTCTGCCAAAAATTCTGTTAACTGCCTTACATACATTCTTTTGGATAACAGCTAAATCTCCAGTGTTCAGTGACTTAATAAACATTTACACAAGTCATTTTACGTCATAATTGATTTTCGGACTTGACCTTATTTTGTTCTTGGTTAGAGGCTAATTAAAGGACATTTTGAAGTATCACATACGTATTATTTCTGTAGTTGTGACTCTAGTAACCTAAACTCTACTATTAACCAACACCAAACTGGGAAAGATACTATAGTACTATGAAGCTTAAAGTCGAACGTCATTAAAATATGCCTGTGTTTCATTTTTTTCAACCTAGGAATATTTGGTTTTAAGAGAAAAATCTCACTTAATGCCAATTTGTCAAGTCGACTGAAGCGAAATTTGCATTTTGTTTGAAAATTACCGTTTCCAAAAATTCATAAGGAAGGTTAAATGCCTCCACTTTATACACGGTGAGTAAATATATGCGACCCGCACGTCCTTCTGGTCTGATATTGCTGTTACATTAGACTCTATCAATTGTGAATCCACGATCTCTTAATGTGACTTCTGTACTTGGGGACGAATAATTTTATGCCTACCTTGTCAACGTGCGTCCCTAAAGTCTTAAGAAAACGCCCTCATTTTAGCAATATATATAATGATATAACAAGTGTGCCATTTAAATATGCAAATGCAATCTTACCTTAGCGAAAGTTGGCTAATCTCTTCGGGTATCCCTTCTGGAGAAAGCGGTCCGCTAAAATAAGTACTTCTTCTTCTGCCGCACCCAGCGTTACGGCACGTTTCCATTTTGCGACAGACAGATCCATTCTCATAACGATCCATGTGCGCACACGGTATTGTCACTCGACAATGCATTGGCTAGTTCGCATTTGTGATATAAACAACGTCTTTTTACAGTCATTATATAATAACTAGGTCAAGTCAAGCAGACAAGTCCTCGATATGTTGCGGTAAAACAGGTTTTATCTGACCAACCGTGCCGTATTTAGAGGTGTAAACAAGGGTTAAGAATAGAATGGCCAAATCTACATTGCATAACAGATAGGCGCCACGAAAAGACCGGTTGACCGCAACGCTTTGTCATCAGGATTATAATCAGGTCCCGTAACTCGAAAGCATCGCGCATTTTCAATAGCAATATTACACAGAGGTTACAATGTATTATATGGTGCGAGTATGGGCGAGTTATGGGATCGAGACGCTTGCGCTCGATCGCAATGCGCGATGCTTTCGAGTTACGGGGCCCTGGCAGCCAAATAGCGTTCATATCGCTGTCAGTTGTGTAAGAAACACTAAGATTCGCAAGGCAATTCAATAGTTTTCTTAATAAAGAAGTGCCAAACTTTTGTGTACACACGCTATCGATCACAGGGTGTAGTGTTCACAAATATATTTCCCAGACATGTAAATTAATTTGATTAGAGTCGATTGCTTGTGCACTCGACTCGTTTTATGGCCTTACCTGTAGTCATGTAACTTAAGTGGACGTGTGCAATTTGAATAATTAAAATTAGTATGTACCGCCAAATACTGCAGCACAGAATCCACCTATAGATAAGAAATACGTATAAAAGACGTCTAGAAATAATATTGGGGGGCAGACTGAAGAATACTCGAAGCGGACCGCTCGACGGAGCTATGGGAGACGGCTTAGAAGTTGGAGGCTTCACGTAGAACATGTAGTTAGGGATCATCTACTAATAAACCATTAAACTGGTCATTATGTGGACTTGGGTTTTCTTTGCGCGACATTACGTAAATCTGACACGAACCGTGGAATTTCGAATTGCGTTATCCACTGAGTAAGTTTAAAACGTAATGTCCTAAATTTCGAGCCCACGCTTGAATTAAGCGTTCTAAATTATATAAGTTTAGGACATTCATCTCATATGTATATGTAAAGGTACATAACATATTTGGCTGAGCTTCGCCAGTTTACGTTCCAATGCGCACAAGGAAGACCTGACTAGACACAAAATGGCCAGACGGGGAGGTAAGTATGGAAAGGGTATGTCTTCGCGCATGGGATGTCATGGATTGACACGATCGTGTGAGAGTGGTGCGGGAAGCGGTGGTTATAGTATGTACATAGGTGATGGTGGTGAAAACTGAGATATGATTAAGCCAGTAGAACCTTGGATTTTTGATACGAAATCACAATATCAATATACACGAATTATTTTGAAGTTGTGTTAACATCCTTTTATTTCAACCGAATAAGGAATACCACGTTTTGTTTCAAAAATTATTTTTCTCCACCGTGGTTGAACATGTAAGTGTAGTAAATAAAGAAACTAGGCCTAACCCCCATGAAAACTGTCGTTAATATCCTAGTGAGTGTCCAAGTGTGTTCAGCGTGAGGGTAACAATTTTATTGATAAACTTTGTATTTAAATCTTGAATAAATAGGACGAATTGCATTGAATTGGCTTGCTTTTAATTTTGCACAGAGAACTAATTGACATAAAGAAGTCATAACACCTGAATCAGGCGTATGTCGCACATGAGGGGCAACTGATCAAAATCAAGACAATGGACATCATCATGGCGGCCAGTTTGGGCCTAACATCAACACCGCTGGAAACCTGGCCAGCAGAGATGGCGCTGTTTTTAACGGCAACTACTCTGGTAGGAGCCCCACTTCCGTCCTTGTGCAGCATGTGAAACACAAAGGCCGTCGTTCCGGTATTCGGCAACTTGTCAAGATTGGCTACATTCTGTAACACGAGTTTCTTCGCGCCAAGAAAGGCCACGTGCGATGGAAATGACGTCGTTTGACCCGCGTCGATGCTGGCGGTGTCAATTCCCACACCGATGAATTTTCGGTTGTTCACTAACCAATCTGCTGCCTCTCCTGAGAAGCCAGGGAAGTGCAAAAAGGACTCCCCCTTATCATTTACGCGATGTGACCGGTTCTTAGAGCCGAGGTATTTTTCGAAATCGTTGACAAATTTCCCCCAGCCAGTGTGAAGAAACACCATGGCGTTGTCAGGTATTCGGCCATTTTTCTTCTCCCAGTCTTCCAAGTCCTGGACGGTAAGGACAGCGTCCGAGTTATTTTCAGCTTTTTTGGACATGTCCACTCTGACGGCGGGACCGATGAGAGTGTGCGCAGGAATATCATGGGTTCGCCATGAACCTTTAATGAAGTGCGCAGGCGCGTCAAGATGTGTCCCTGCATGTTCTGATCCACAAAAGCTGTTCGTTTCAATCCTGAAAACATCGATATGCTTGTTACTGACAAGTCTAGAACTAAATTTCATAAAGATTTATGCTCATTATATAACAATATATACTAATAAAAGAAAATATTTTAACCAACAACCACCTAGCTTACTAAACCAACTGAATATATAGTGATGATGTTTTAAAACAACCTTTGTAAATATCTGTCTGTAAACTAGTATTTCAATTTTTGGTACATTAGTTTATACAAATAAGGCTAGGTCACAGTCATTGTGAAGAATGTATTTCTACCCGATTAGAAAAATAAATATATCTATATAGTGATATACTGGCACTTAATTAAAGCTGAATATAGGTTACTTATATTCGTGCAATTATTTGAAATTAATTTGTGATAAGTAGGAATAGTAACTTGCTGATTACAAACTGCAAATGTGCCCATCGAAATATCAAAACCATTTGTTTCTTCTTATCGTCCATTTTCAAGATGCTTTTAATGGAAATACGGGATAAGAATACATTTTTGTCTTTTTAATATTTCTACATTTTTTGTCTTTATAATAATATATCTACAATTTTTCAATGGTAATATTAGATCACTTGAGGGAGGTATATTTTCATTACTCACCATATTGTATTGTTACCAATAAGGGTTAATCCGTGGACAAGGAAAAACAACCGAAAAGGTGTCCTTCCTGGCCACATAACCGTGTCATTAGACAGAGGGTAGGACAGGTCAATGACGTCATCGGCTCCCGGTCTGATCCGAGCTTTTTTAAATGCCATAAGCCGCAAGGGGGCACCACCACCGTCTTTGATATTAAGCGGAAGTGCTGCGACGGTGTCCCCCGTTGTTGCTAACTTATCTAAATTTGCGACGCTTTCGAGGATAAAAATGTTCTTTTTGAAGAGAGGAACGTGGGCCATCATAGTTTTACTGGGGCCTATTGAGGGCCCGTCTGTGGCCACTCCCCAAATCTTTCTGTTTGAGGAAATCCAAATGGCGGCATCTTCGGAAAGAGCGGGAAAATGCGGCAGCGGGTTTCCATTGGCGTCCAACCAGCTGTCGGTGCCCTCGTAACCATAGTACGCCGTGCGATTATCATGGTGCTTTCCCCAACCGGTGTAGATAAACAGTATAGAGTTGTCAGGAATGGGGCCGTTTTCCTTTTCCCACTTTTGCACGTCCTCTACTTGCAGGTTGTATTCATTATTCTGGGCTGTTTGAGAAGAAATATCAATGCGAACTGCAGGGCCAAAGAACCTGTGAGGTGGAATCTGATGCACTCGCCATTTGCCTTTGCTGTAATGCGCAGGCGCGTCCATGTGGGTACATTGGTGTTCTTGTCCACATATATCATTGTCTTCGTACCTGAAAAAATGTGATAAACTGAGGATTTACTTCGAACTTTTTGTATTGCAGTTTCCTACAGTACAATTAAGAAACAACAGTTACTGCATAAAACTTCCTAAATCTTTTCTTGTCATTAAATAAATCGAATGATTTCCAGCGGTTAAGTACAAGGGTTGGAAGAAATGGTACATACAGGTAACTGGAACTGAGATAAATTAATATAGCTTTTTATGAACTAATACATAAACATGATGCGTTTTTTTTACCTTGCCGTAAGTGCCCCTTAAAATATTTTATGATATAACTGATATAAATAACTGGTACACCGTTAATTTTTTGCACGACAGGTTTAATATTAATGAATACTTTTAGAATTCATATAGGCCTACTTTGCAGTGAATGATGATCGAGGACTTTGTCAATACAGTTGTTTTCATTATGAAGTTATTGGTTACGTTGTCTGTTACAATAATAATAATAATAATAATAATAATAATAATAATAATAATAATAATAATAATTGAGATATTGCAACCACGAGGGTTGAAGTTATACATATATTCACTTAATTCACAATTCAAAGGAAGCCCGGTCATTTTGGGCCTGTTGCACACTATAAGTTGTCGCTCTCGCGTCCTAAATGGAATAATTACATGTATGCGTTAACGCATGGTTCCTCTACTAGTATTAACAAGATATTGGTACTTAGAATAATCACCCCCCCCCCCCAGATGTAAAAGGACACTGAAACGTTTACGATTTGTAGATAACTCACCACCCAGATCCGAAATTAACTGGCCCTCTTGAAACCCGAGTGAACTTTAACCCAGGCAGTCCTGGCCAATACAGTGAATCTGGAGACACGAGGTACGTCATGTCTATGATATCATCAGCCGCGGGGCTCAACTGGGCATGCGCGTGCATGACGGAGAGCGCCACAACGACTGCTAATTTGGAAACTTCCATGGTTTCTGAAAAATAGAGAATGAAACCTTTTGGGTGTTTAAAATTACAAAATCTTTACCGAATATATTTACTGTTTTGCCTAACACAATGCAGGTGTACATCCCCTTAATCTATATGAATTGCTTCTCTTGGCATGTTTCACACCTGCCATTCACGAACTATTGCAATGTTATTTCTGTTTGTCGACAAAATCATAATTGCAAAAAACTACAGTTGGAAGGCAGCAGGCCGAAATTTGGTCTCATTTGAACCCTAGCCATATCTCAAACTGCCGTTTGTAAAGCAAGGTCCACTTTTTGGGTCTCATCTGTGAGTAATCATAACGATTTATCCCGGGTCAATGTATAATCAAATATTCGCCAATATAGCAAGAACAGACTACATGTGCACACCCTTGCGTCATGCTCGGTTACCGGAAACATCTTACTATAAGACGACATAAGCGGGAATAAAAAAATACTCCCCCTACCAAAAATAGTGTCACCCGTAACCCAATGCAAAAACTGATACAAAAAATCATGTCATAAAACAATTTTCTTTATTCAACTGCTAAAGGGAATCGACAGAATTCCTTAGGTTTTCTCTCCAGTCCTTGGATGCAATGGTCTGTGTTAAGGTTCCGGTTGACCACTGCCAGCTCGACTACACCATAGTAGCCAATACAGCCCATACAGGACTTACAGTATGTGGGCTGCATCCTGTCGGCCAGAGTCAGAAAACTGAGAATTTATTTTTACCAGAATTTATTTTTATTGTTCGCTAGATAGGTAAATGTTCTACCACTCACATCCCCAATTTACATGATGATCGATGGCCTTGTTGTTATGTTATGGTAAAGTTAGCATAATGGGTAACCTTGTAGCAATGTACATAATTGCGGTAGCGGTGACACTTTATTGAAGTGGTAGTACACATGACGTTTGCAGTTGATTTACAATTTTCATCACTGTAAAACTTACGATATCAGTATATTTAACAAGAATCTTTCAGTAAAAGTATTTGATATGCGCAGTTACTCCGTGCACACATTATTTTGAGTTTACTTCTTGCCTTTACACTGTTTACATTAAAAAAAAAAGATAAAAAGTTGGGACTTACCTAACAATCAAGGCACTTCTGTTTAACCTTGGTAGTAACCTTGAAAGTATTCGCAATCCAAAAAGAAGGTCCTAAGCCTTCTTAACTAAGATTTATGATTGCTATTTTATCGTTCTCGAATCGCTGAGAAAATTGTCTTCGATGGGCAAAACTTGTCGGTGTAGCCTCGACGTTATCAATAACGATTAGCAACGTTACCTCCCACAGGTGAAATGAACCTTAGTTGCCATTAAGAACTCTCCCTGCTCTCGAGATGAGAAAGAAAACAAACCATTTACATAATTATTCATGGAAATGTCTGGCGTGACATGTTAAAGGCACATTATACTTGCATATCATTTTGTTCCATATTTCTTCTTTTAAATAATCCCATAGGTAAACCTACCCACTACAATAGTTGGTTGTGGGCCGCAAAGAATCATGCTGGATATTGTCTAGCATGTTTTTATTTCTTTATTTTTCAAAATCAATTTAAGCTGGGGAATTGCGGGCCTCATAAACGATAATTGCCGTTTACTAAAACTGCCCGCAGATCTTTTAGCACCAACGCCCATATTAACCACCAAGCCCACGAATTAATGAGCACATCGTGAAGTATTTAGCACCAACGCCCATATAAACCACCAAAGCTTTATTTGTTGTAACACCATGTTTTCCCTCCAAAATAATGATATCTACAAAGTCTTGGCAGGCTAGCAGTGTCAATCAGATGAAGATATTGCATTTGGTTGAAATTATCATTTTCAAAACTGTCTACTTACAATTGTAAAATGATTTATATTTTTTGCCTTTAACTTTTAAATAATTTTTATCACAGCCTTAATTTTGTTGATCTTTGTCTATGGAAACTGTAAATCAAGGTGCATGCACCTCCTTGGTTTACTTGACATCACTCGTATTAAATCATATCAAACAAAACAGGTACGCAGTTCCGAAATGTACAGTGGAATCATCGTAACTTGTTTCAAACGTAATCAGAATTGCAAATATCAAAATTGACGTCGCATTTATGCTAAATTAATCACCACAGTGTTAATTTCATTATATCTTTAATGTATGAAGCTCGAATTTGCTATGTCGCCAAAAGTGTCCCGTTTTTGTAATAGCTAATCGCGTGAGTACACGTTTCCATTTGTCTAACAGCTGCTCCTTAAGATACGTATTGTACGTCATCATTTCTCTGCTCGTTTCAGCGAGATCGACTCTTTCTAATTTCTCTACAAGATCATCTAGAGATTCAAAAAGTATCACATAAGGCCACTGGTAATAATCCGCATATTGCAACCAGTGGCGAAGCGCCACGTCATAAGTGTCGTCATTTGGATCAGGAACATCCATAACACCAGGAATGGCTGACGCTTTTGCGGAACGACCCTCTTGTCCTGCTAACGTCCGCTGCTGTAGCAGCTGATATTTCAGATGCCATTTAATGAGTAAATCAAGGGATGGAAAAAACAATGGAATGTTCATTCGATATTGCTCAGTCTGGTACATGGAGGTCACATCGAACGGAATGTGTATGATTCCTTTGTATTCTGATATTCTCCTGTGAGAGCCCGCCTTGAATAGACTGCTATACGGCATATACTCTATTTCTACGTTGACTTTCGTCTTATTCATTGCAAAATTAAGTTCTTGTCTGAAAAATGACCGGAATTCATCGCTGAGTATCGGACCCAAGAGAAACTGATTTTTCTTTGGGTTATATTTGTATTTGAGGTACGCGCAACTAGGTTCAAGCAGAAGAGCCTCTGTCCCAAGGAAATATTTCATATATTCTACGTCATATTTACTTGTGGCAGCGATGACGTTAGTGGGGTCATTAGCCAAGGTCAATAAACGCTTGTTCCACTGCCGCCATCTAATCGGCGAGGTTCGACCTTTTTCGTACCTCGTCGACGTCATGATTAGAAGACTTTTATTAAATTTCACGAATGCCTCACATACGGAGACCGGATCAGTGCAAACGAAGGCATCCACCTGAGTGAAAAGGTAGTCTTCTTTATACGCTTGGAAAAAACGTTCAGCATCCTCAGCGCTCAGATCTACGGTATTATTCCGGTTTAGAACTTTCAAACTACTGGCACACGATTTGAAGGCACCGCAGTTTTCAGATAGGCTGTTGTCTACAAATTTCACCCCAAAAGGTCGCAATGTGTTTTTGACGTCATACACGGGCGCTATAGACATCCCCAGGCTGTAGAACAGCATTGAATACCGAGTGTCGTTGACACATTTCTTCTGTACTGCCATACGCTGCAGCTTCACAAGTTCATCTGGGTACAGAGGTTCACCGTAGGGTGCCACGTGCTCCCCTATGTAATCATAATGTGTGCGTTCTAACGGGGCAGGTGCGGAGTTAGGGTACTTCTCGCACGCGACACTGTCGTGACACAAAGTGTTGGACTTAATCAGCGGCCAGACACGTTCGTTCAGAAACGCGTTAAGGTCTTTATATCCGGATATGGATTCTCGTATGGAGTTTCTTAGGGTTTTCTGCAAGTCGACAGCTTTACCACCGAATAAATTCCCCATCAAAGCAAAGCGCCCGTGATTAGGGTGGTCCCGGATGCAGTAAAATGGTTCTTTCGAAGTCATCCAGTGCTCCAGAAAAATGGCTTCTCTGTCCGTGGGTCGGGTTGTGACGTCTCGTAATAAAAATTTACTAATATTTGGATCGTCTGCCACCAGGAACTTCCAAAATGCTGCTGGGATGTCGCGCGCGTCGTCACGACTGACGATAGAAATTTGTGCACCTAGGCGACGCAAGATTTTTAAAATTAACGACGGCACTGCTGGGTATTTTGTAGAGTTTTCACCTCCCGAACTATCTTCTACGTAAAAACGGAGTTTCCATTTGGGGAATATAACGGGAGCTAGCTGAGCGATTCTAATGGCACCATAAGTGTACGTTAAGTTAGCACCATATAGGGTATAAGCAATTACATGCCGAGTATCGGTATTTCTGCTTAAAGACGCTTTCTGTTTTGCCTCCAACCATCTTGCCAGGTACGCCTTCCCTTTGCTTTCCTCTTCTCTAAAATACTGTTCCCGGCTAAAGTCCACGTCATATCTGCTTTTGAAGCCCTGAACATGTTCCACTTGAACGGAGGGAAGTTTTGCAAAGCGCGACGGTGAATAGACATCAGAAATCCATTGGTCCGCCCACCATGTGGTGAAAATCCGCGGATAGTATACCCCATAAATATCCATGTGAGTCCTGTGGACGAAATCGTATGTCAATATCTCTTCATTGCCTCCTTTGTGTTGGGGACCCACTACACCGACGTTAGGGGGTTGAAAGTTAGCCAGCCTGCTTATAAAGGCCTCGGTCCAACCAGATGTCGTAAAACGGGTGTCGTCATTGATACGGTAGAAATACGGCATGTCTTCTAAGTATGCCACCAACATGGCGTCGGCTTGTGCCCAAGACGGTTTAGAACCATAGGGGACTTCTATTATATGGAGGGAAACTGCGATTTTATATGAGCAGTAGGCGGTCAGGACGCTGGCAAACGCCTGCTGGAAGACTAAATGAGCATCCATCATGTTAAAGAACGGGTCATTATTATCATGAGCAATGAAGAATGTGTAGTTGAAACCGATGCTGGCTGTTTTACAAAACGTTGGTAACATCTGTTTAAATAGAGGCAATCGCTCTTTTATGTTATTCTCATCAAGACCAAAGATCCTACGGGTAGTAACAGCGCAACCAATGGCAATACGCCTGTCTTCTTCGTAAAGATCCGATGACGTCAGTTGACGTCCAGTATGCTGGTGACGCCACGAAACAACTTCTGCCCAATTGGAGTCCGCGTGAACAGCCGTTGTGGCTTGCTGGCGCATTAGCTCCTTTTGAATCAAGAGGATAATTGTAGCCACGACCAGTATAACGACGATGGTATCTCGTCTGGGATTGCGCCATTTTAAGACATGGAGGAGACTGCTTGCCTTGCCCCGTTTCATGCTGTCCTGAAATGATGTCAGTTGAATATCATACAGAGCTTTGACATGTAAGGGACTGTTCACAATTAATTTTATCGACCTAGCTAATGCACATTAACTCCGAGGGGACTTTCGCTGAATGCAATCAGATAAACAGAATAACACGCCTCCTCCTGGGGTGTAGGCGTGTTAATCTGTTAATTTGATTGCTCTCAGTGAGAGTTCCGTGGAGTAAGTGCGCACTAGCTAGGTCGATAAAACTCATTGTTAACGGCCCCTAAGACATAGGGGACTTGGATAGTGAGATAATCAGATAGAAAAACACTAAAATCTTCGACGTCGGAAACTTTCGGACTGTTTCTAACGACGTCACATTAATTTGAGTCAACATTAAATTGTAGCGTCATTACCCGTACTAACCGCGCCCTGATCAGAGCAGGCTTAACTTCAATCTGCGTGTAGTTAAGAATTTGCCCTATGTATAAATTCTAAAGATAAATAACCTACAATCAAGACGACAAACATAGGTATAGGGATTTAATTTCTTGCAGAACTTCGTTAATGATTTAAAGGATGGCGGTCACCCGTATTTGACAAGAATCTTGCAGTTAAGTAGGGCATAGTTTTTTATTACTATATTAGCACCAGTAATTTCACTGTGAACTGATGTGCAAACCTATATGACTATTGTTATTTTATAGGTAGAGGTGGTCATGGGTTCCTGAATAGAATGTACACACTGGAGATGCTCCCCGAAACCTGAGACCATTTATAATGAGTTTTGTATCGATATAAGGCACGTCAGTGGGCAGCGTAAATGTTTCAAGTCAACGGGCATATTTCAGATATGCAGGTTCTGGTAAATATCAGTGCTTTTGTCAATAACAATGTGAAGATGTGTGGGAAAAGATTATATATTTACTGTTCCCCCTCAGATATTCCATCCCCATTTCTGCCAAATATTCTGGGTGGGTGGGTGGGTGGGGGGGGGGGGATAGTCGTAATCGTAATACCCATTAAATATGCAGATGAAATAATATGTTAAGAGTAAGTGGGTCTTGTGACAGGAATGACAGTCCTAAGAACGGAAGTCTGGGCTCCCATTTAATAAGTAGCCTAAAGGTTAGGGTTAGTCGGAGTATTGAGGTTAGTAAGTGGGACGAATGTAGCCTGTACAAAGTAATGGGGAAAGAACAACCGTTCCTAGCGGACTACCTTTCCTTTCACAGGCCTAAATAAATCGGGTCTTTTACCATGTAAGCCTATTCCACATTGCTCTTGACAAAAAAGTTTATACCAGTAGGCCTACATGGTTATGAAAACACAAAATATTAAACTATAAAACATACTGTATAGATGTACATGACAGGCCACTTCTTCACAGAACTAATTACATGCACGGTGTGCCGCGTGACAGTTCTAATTATGATTCACTGTGTGTGTGTTTAATAGTCGTTGCTTTCAGCCTAACCAGAATGTAATTACATCAAGAATGAATTGGGCCTACCATATTGTACTGCAATGGTAAAACAAAAAATGGTAATATAAATATTGGGAGTGTAAGAAGTAAATTTTAAGTGTATGCTAACCATTCAGTAAAATGGTGAAGAGGAAATTGAGATCAACCCCCCCCCCCCACAACACACATATAACAGCAACACAAACACACACAACAGCAACACACACACACACACACACACACACACACACACACACACCAGATTTGAGTTATTTTGTAGGTCCTACAAGAGAAACACAAAGAGCATGATTTAGTTTATGGCATCGAGAATCTGCAGAGGTTTATCTACAGCTACTCAGGCGAGTGCGTTCGAGGCAAGGGAAATACCTTTCCGTTTAAAGCATGTTAATCTTACGGCTACCTGCACACGTCATTTATCTTTGTATCAATGGATACCTGTAAGTTACAGTGTAACTCACATTCATGCTCTGGCATTCCTTCCAGGTGAAACTATTAAGGAACGCATTCTTATTAGGTACAGTTCACCATACTGTGCCCCTCTTAAGGCTCGCCTTTGTTTACTGTCTTAGTATCATCTCATCGTCAGCAGCCTAGTTCGTAGACCTCAACGAATTTCACCTGAGCATAAAAATGGCGACGTGACCTAGTTCTAAATTTAACTTTGACCTAGTTTTTAGAAGTGGTCGCCCTTGTTGCAGGTATATAAACTGTGGGGCTGTTACTACAGAGTGTAGGAAATAATAAGATATATAACGGCGTTCTCGTGTATTTTGCTTACGTTCTTTGTGCATTTCCCGTTCAAGGAGGTAAAATACAGAAAATGGAAAAGTGTAACGACTCCGGTGGGACTCGAACCCACAGCCTCCGAATACCTTTTATATATATATTATATATATAACCACTAGAAGTCCGACGCGCTATCCATTGCGCCACGGAGCCATTTCTGACGAAGGTCGCTGATTTTTTCATGTCATTCGAGATCGCATACACCAAACCCTATTTTTCTCAATTAAAATAAAATAATAATGATAAAAACGAGCCACAGCATATCCCTGCACTTCCCCACATCGTCAAGAGCACCTCATCCCTAGGGACCCATCCCATATTAACATATACATATTATATATCAAGAATATTCATATTGAACATCATATATAATTATAATAGAAATATATTCAGTAGGCCTATTATATGTCTTCATCCTAACTCTTATGATCTAGGGGGGACTTCAAAGAAAATAAAAAGTGAAATCATTTAGAATCAACCACCCCCCATGTAGGCCTACAGCCCAACCCGTCAACCCCCTGTCTCAATAGTAGGCCTAGCCCATTCTGAAATGTCCATGCATATTCCTGACGACGGGTCTACCAATCACCACAGCGTCAACTGCCTAATGGTCTAGGAGGAGAAAGCAGAAATTTCAATATGAAAAGAATTTAGAATCAACCACCCCCAGGGACAGCCCAACCCCCTGTCGCACTAATATTCTGAAATACCCATGCACATCCTTGACTACGGGTCTACCAATCACCAAAGTTTAAACTTCCTAACTCCAGTACTTTAGGAGGAGATAGCTGAAATTACTAAAGCACAGTCGCACAAACGGGCGGTATCACATAAAAAATAAGTAAGACAGTAAAATATGCCCTAATTTTATGTAGCTTTTTCAAAGCTAATGACATCATCTTTTATTTTATGTGATTAACTCAGTAGTCGACTGCATGTTTGAAGTGAGCTGAAATTACACTTTTCATTCTAATGAGGTTAATTGTTCAATGTTCTCAGTAAAAAAAATTAATAAAAACTATATTTTCATCAGTTTCTGCATTGCACATCAACTAAATTCCTTCTTTTATCTCCTTTTTATCAACTGCCAGACTCGTGCTTATGGATACATACATTTTTATTTTATTTAATCCACTTTCCTCCTTATGCTTACGTCTTCAGTTATCTCTATGATTGCCAAAATATGCCATATTGTCAGGAAATTGTATTTAGTTCAAATCGCTAGGTAATGTTGAAAATCAATAAATTAATTTATTTTTGTGAACACCTCCCCATATGTTATTATCAACACCATTGTGCTATATGATTCCCTATCAGTTAGAAGGACAATGATTTGATGTATAAAAGATACCCGACACTCACCGTCAAATCCCGTAATCTAAGCTAAAACCCTTTTAAGCCCTAATTGGTAACATCCGCAAAATTTACGTTTTTCTCTCAATCAATTACTGACTAAATATATAGCCACAAGGACCGGCAGCGCGGTCGCTGAATATTCCTCTGCGAACAGATATTGACAATGCAATATGTGATTTCTTGGCTTTTTCACAATGCAAACCGCCTGAAGGAATAGTGTATTAGATTAAAGAACCAGAATGATTCACAAAAATGGAAATATTATAAACCTTATGACGCAGAAAAGAATCAATGAAAGTTATTTTGTTTCTGAACTTCTTTCAAACCCACAAAATCTCAAGTATCCAGTGAATTATATAAGTATTCAGCCTTCAAGTGGGGCGACAAGGCAGTTTAACAAAAATTATCATCAATAAATCGTTTAATTAGACATAGGCCCCACTTGAAGTGACACGAGCAAAAATCCGAGATCACGTGAGAAGCAATTTTTACAGTTGATCTCTCTCATCCAGCCTTTTTGGGTAATGACGCGATTTCAACCCGACACTCCCACTCTCATTTGCCTACTACTTAACCGCGCTACTGGTTTTGATTTCCAGAAGCCAATACTGACTTCAGATAACAATCACAAAACGATCATCACGCAGGAGAAGACCAGAACACGAGACGACCATCAAAATGACAATTCCCATTGGACACGGCAGCAGGTCTGGCTTTAAGTCTTGGGCATGTTTTGCGATTTTTCTGGTTTTGATACTAAATGTGGCTGTAGGGGACGCAACAGACGGATGCTGGGTGAGTGGCAATAACACTGTTTTTTTACTTACTTATCTGTGTTTAACCTGTTAAAAAATTGGTACATATTGCTTGATTAGAAGATTTATACGCTTGAAGGTAATATCAGAGACATTTAGATAGTGATGCTCTTTTGACAATTCAGTAGATACAAATCAAAAATATAAAACAATCTTTGTGGCTTACTGAACAATTATAGATACTCGTAACTTAAGTTCCATATCAAGTTATGATATCAAAATATCTATGGATTTTTAGACAAAGTAAGCTCACATACGCACACCAGCTGCCAGTTAAGGGAATACATAATGTAATATTTGTTCAATTATAACACATCAAGTGGAAGAATCACGCATACAAGCACAATTTTCAAACCTAACACGCGTTCTATCCACAGCATAGCACCCATGGAAGCTAACATAGCGTTCAGTAACGAGGTTTAAGCTCCGACTACAGTTTGAGTGGGTAAAGACCTGTGAGCGACCACCCTCTTTACATCTTATTGTTGAATCTCGGCACTTCAAGTGAACACATACAATTCTTTTAACAACGCTGTTGTGTTGCTGTCCTCTTAGCTTTCTGTCGACTGTCGTGTATACAGTTCACAAGG